TGGTTCATGTCGAATCAAGAGACCAGTTTTGTGACGTTGGGTCAACGGGTTCTAGCATATCCACTTAAGTGAGTATTCTCGCTTCAGACTATAACTTGTGCAATAGGACTACATTTCATTTTGAACTTTTTTTTATTGTGGAGCTTGTTTCATGTTTTAGCTTTCTCTTCATCTGCTTGCATTTACTTGGTAAATGGGTTTAGCACTTGTTTTCCGGTTTATTGGATTGTTTTTATTTGATCTATTACCACTTTCCAGTGACAGCTTAGTTTTAAAATGTTCAAAACTAATCTTGCAGAGTTCGAATGCACTATGGGCATCCAGATGTGTTCGATAGAATATTTCATATAACTCGCGGAGGAATCAGCAAAGCATCCCGTGTTATTAACATCAGTGAAGATATATGCTGGTATGCGTAGTAGATTGCTTTTCTATAAACTTAATAAGTTCTTGCTGCAATATAAATTCCTGATTGCTGTTTTAAACTTAAGAAGTTCTTGTTTAACTCTCAATGTTCTAATATTTAAAAGAGCTTAACCATGATATGTTCTTGAAAAGTTTGAGCTTTTTACCTATAAACAATGACGATATTTGCAGGATTTAACTCGACACTCAGGCAGGGGAATATCACCCACCATGAGTATATTCAGGTCAACAACTTACTTGCTTTAAATGTTTCTTCACTTAGCTTGTATCTCATGTCGATCTGGATACATGATCCATACATATTCTTTAATGTAGGTTGGTAAAGGAAGAGATGTAGGACTCAACCAGATTGCCCTATTTGAAGGGAAGGTAGCAGGTGGAAATGGAGAACAAGTTCTTAGCAGGGATGTCTACAGAATTGGGCAGCTGTTTGACTTTTTTAGAATGATGTCGTTCTACTTCACAACAGTTGGATTCTATGTCTGCACAATGGTACTTTTCATTCTCTTGTGTTCTGTAAGTCTGTTTCCCCCATAACCACATGTAGTAAAAAAAATCTTTGATGCAGATGACCGTCCTTACTGTGTACGTCTTTTTGTATGGAAGAGTTTATCTGGTATGTTATGGAGCCTTCTATCTTTTCGTTTTTTCAGTGTATCTTCTTTTTAAAATGATGGGTAGTAATTGCTCTCTGAAATGTGTAGAGTAGTGGATGTTTACTAAAAATTAGTGTTGCTTGCTGCATAATTTTTTAAGAGTACAACCTCATGTAGTTTAAGAATGATTTGCCGTCAACTATAATTCTGTAATCCTAGACCAATATGGATGCGTAGTATTTGACCCACCTTTTCGAATATTTAAGGCATATTGCACTTTTCACATACAATTGGGCATCTACATGGATAACATTCTTGGGAAAAAGTATTGTTATCTTGTTCTTGCAACTTGGTTGATTTATGCACTTCTTTCCTTTTTCATCTGTTGTCTTTTATTTCTTAAGACGCTTCCCTTGCCTCCTTTGATATCATTGACTTCTTGGTATTTTTCAGGCCTTTTCTGGTGCTGATCGTGCAATATCAAGAGTAGCCAAACTGTCAGGTAACACTGCATTGGATGCTGCACTAAACGCACAGTTTTTAGTCCAGATTGGAGTCTTTACTGCCGTCCCTATGGTGATGGGTTTCATACTTGAACTTGGATTGCTAAAGGTTGGTTGACCTATTCACTCCGTTTCCTTTTGGACCAAATCGTTACCCTTACTGTTCATGTCTTTTATTACTCTTTTGATACGTATTTTCTTTCTGGTTCATTGTCTCTACACGTTGAGCCACAAATAGCTTTGAGAGAGCTCTTCTACTAAAGTTTCCTGAAGCATATGTTTTTTTCTTATATCACAGGCTATTTTCAGCTTTATTACGATGCAATTCCAGTTGTGTTCTGTCTTTTTCACATTTTCTCTCGGGACAAGAACTCATTACTTTGGACGTACTATTCTTCACGGTGGTGCAAAGGTATACTTGTTTTTATACATAGCAATGTTTCTGTCTTTTTAAAAAAAAAAAACTTTTTCAAATGCGTGTATTTTATCAACAGTATCGAGCAACTGGCAGAGGTTTTGTGGTTCAGCACATCAAGTTCGCCGATAATTACAGACTTTATTCTAGAAGTCATTTTGTTAAAGCGTAAGCCCAAATGTTAATCACTTACATGTTATTTGACGAGCTTCTAAAGTCGAATAACATTTATCATGTGGATGCTTAGGGAACTGCTTCTTACTGACTCATGTGAACCTCTTTCTTTGTGCAGTTTTGAAGTAGCTCTACTGTTGATCATTTACATTGCCTATGGGTATACGGACGGGGGTGCCTCTTCGTTCGTTTTGCTAACTATCAGCAGTTGGTTCCTTGTAATCTCCTGGTTGTTTGCACCCTACATCTTCAATCCCTCTGGATTTGAATGGCAAAAGTTAGTACTGTGCCTTTTTCTTGGTCTTCATTCCATTTCCGTATTCAATTGATTTTCTCTGGTGACACAGATGGCACTATGTCTTAAATTGTATTGGATCTTGACCTGTAATCTTTCATGCTTGATACAGGACTGTCGAGGATTTTGAAGACTGGGTCAGTTGGCTGATGTACAAAGGTGGAGTGGGAGTAAAGGGAGAGCTCAGTTGGGAGTCGTGGTGGGAGGAAGAACAGGTTTGTCCGATATCTTTCTTGTATACGTCAGTAGCCCGATCCTTTGCAGGAACTACCCGTTATAACAAACTTGCAAAATGGATTTTTGTATTTTGATGTATTATCGTATTCTATATTGGTTAGTTTTTTTAATACTTGTGTTCCTTTACAGGCGCATATCCAAACATTAAGAGGAAGGATATTGGAGACCATTTTGAGCTTGAGATTTTTCATGTTTCAATATGGCATTGTGTACAAGCTTGATCTCACTGGGAAAAACACTTCACTTGCGGTAATGCTTGTTTTTTCTTGTATCCTCGTTTAATTCAGTTGAACAGGATATTTGAAAATTGTTTTGCGTTTGCTTGATCATAGAAAAAGCTGCAGCGTTTAGATTGTGCTTTTTCTTTGTATGAGCTATTACACTCCAATACATTGCTATTATTGCATGAGTGTGCCTGACTGAATCCTCTCTTTTGTGTTTTGCAGCTCTATGGCTACTCGTGGGTTGTATTGCTTGTTATTGTGTTCTTGTTTAAGGTGGGTACTAAGATTTTCATTAGTTTTTTCTCCAGATTTGATTTTTTGGTATCCCATCACACTAACATGTTATCATGTCTCCTTGTTACTTCAGCTTTTCTGGTATAGCCCCAGAAAATCGAGCAACATTCTGCTGGCACTGCGTTTTCTACAGGGAGTGGCTTCGCTCACATTCATCGCCCTCATCGCTGTAGCCATTGCACTAACACCGCTATCGATTCCAGACATGTTTGCATGTGTTCTTGCTTTTATCCCGACCGGTTGGGGTCTACTGTCTATAGCAATCACATGGAAACGGGTGCTTCGGGTCCTGGGCTTGTGGGAAACAGTCCGTGAGTTTGGGCGTATATATGATGCTGCAATGGGTATGCTCATATTTTCTCCGATCGCCCTTCTTTCGTGGTTCCCTTTCATCTCCACGTTCCAGTCTCGTCTCCTCTTCAACCAAGCTTTCAGTCGCGGACTTGAAATCTCCATTATCCTCGCCGGAAACAGAGCTAATGTTGAGACCTGATGAACGAGAGAGAGAGAGAAATTAGTGTGGAAGTAGAAGAAGTATTAGACATTTTGTTTGTTGAAATGTAATTGAGCTTTGTAGAGTTTGTAGAACGTCACTGAAAGCTCATCGACTCGGATTTTATATGTTTGTAATCTTAGTTTTGTTTACTCTAAAAGCTTAATCTTGTGTTACTGTTTATTGTCATAGGTTGACTATATTTTGGTAACTTGATTTTTGTTAAATTGAGATTTGTTGATTGTCTGAGAATCTTTGATCTCTGGTTAAGAGACTCTTCCTAGTTCCTGCAACTATCAAAATTATATGTACTATATACATAGTGGTCAGTAAGTGGGTGTGTAATGGTGGTATTGTTCTTTAATTTGTGCCAATGGGTGTATGTTACTTGGCTTAGATTGGTACTTGGAAGTCGTAGCACGCTGATTATGTAATCCGCCATTAATCAAAAATACATGATGATTTATAGGTAATAGTCACCATAAGTGATAAATTTTGTCACAAGGAAAGATCCGATTGCTTGTAAATACGTAATGACAGATAAACATCATTGTCTCAGAAAAATTAATATTTCATGTGGAATTTAGTAGTTGTGGATTTACCCGTGGTGACATAAGACTTAAAAAGTAGATTTGGAAAAAGTAATTTGAAATTAAGAATTAAGAAACATCTCACAGCTAAACATCGTTCTGGTAAAAAAACACACACGGTGTGGTCACGCAAATCGGGTATGACTTGTCATTTGCTTATTAAATTATTACTATACTATCGCCTAAAGTCCTCACTTTTAGGAGTAGACTAGTAAACGCTTCTGACTAAAATACAATTAAATTAAGAAACTGAGGTTCGCCAAAAATTCGAAAGTGAAGTGAACAACAAAAGCTCACTAATACTCAAATAAGTTCTTAATCAAAAGCATTCCTATATGATTTTTCAATTACTACGACACAAAATTTGGATTAGATACATTAGTATGTGCATCGATTATTCATCAATCAAGAATATTCATCCTTTTTTTGTTGGTCCAAAAATCAAGAATATTCATCTAATAACTAGTAGTAACCAACCACCATTTTTTATTTAGACTTGCTTTAAAAAGAATTTGTTAATTAAAAATATAAAATGGTATTAGACAATTAGTGGGTTCTAAGTACCTCTAAAACGCGAAAAAATCAAAAGAAAAGATTAATAAGATAGTTTGAGGAAGAAATAAAACATAATTAGAGCTTAAAGCGTAGAAGGAACACACAAAACATGGTTTCAAGTACAACAAAACGACGAACCACTTAAGCTCAACACCTTTGACTCTCTCTCTCTTTCTCATCTCCAATAAAACCAATCACAGAAGCACAAAATTTCCAAAACTCTTAAGGTACAAGATGGGAATTTTGTCGGACGACGTAGTGATAATCAATCAATCGGAGAAAGAAGGTGACCCGAGTGTAATAACCATCAATTGTCCTGACAAAACTGGTCTAGGTTGTGATCTCTGTCGTATCCTCCTCTTCTTCGGCCTCAACATTGTCAGAGGAGGTAACAATCCAATTCCATCATTACACTTTGGTTTCAATTTAGGAGGTAACAACATCTTATGAATGTGTTCGATTAAATTCGTCTGTGAAGATGTATCGACTGATGGAAAATGGTGTTACTTGGTCTTCTGGGTGATTGGGAAACCTAACACAAGATGGAATCTGTTGAAGATGAGACTTGTAGAGGCAAGTCCTTCTTTTTCTTGGGCCTTTGGTATCTCAAGATGTTACCTTTCTGATTCTGAGTCTCAGCCTCCCAAGCTTCCTGATCTTTTCCTTTTGAAGCTAGCTTGTTCTGACCGCACAGGGCTTCTTTATGGTTAGTTAGTTAGTTTCTGTTGGGTTCTTCTTGACTCTCTGAATTTTAGATAGCTGTGGCCTCACTGTTTTTATATTGACAGATGTCACAGAGGTTCTTTACAAGCTTGAGATTAACATTGAGAAAGTTAAGATATCTACTACCCCTGATGGAAAAGTAATGGACTTGTTCTTTGTCACAGACACTAGGTATATAAATTGCAAATTTAAAATGGAGATTTTGGATATTCCTAGGATGTTTAAGTTAGTTGTGTTCTGTTTTTGTTCTTGTCAGAGAGCTTTTAGGGACGGTGAAGAGGCGGGATGAAGTTCATGAGTACCTGAGAGATGCTATAGGAGATTCAATGATCAGCTATGACATTGAACTTGTTGGCCCAGAAATCACAGCTCGCTCGCAGGCTTCCTCATCAGTTGCAGAAACATTGTTCTCCTCGGATGTGTCGGGAGAGCACCCGAGTGGGTTACACACTTCAAGCAATGTGTCTATTACAGTTGACAACTCGCTAAGCTCAGCTCACACCGTCATTCATATCACTTGTCTAGATCACAAAGGCCTTCTCTATGATATTATGAGAACCTTCAAGGATTTCAACATTCAGGTTTGTGCAAGTCTTTAATGGTTTTTTCTGACCCTTAAAATTCATATGCTCAGATCTTTTTATTTGCTTTGCTTAAACCTTTCGACTGTTATTTACATGGGACTTGTTCTCTCGAATCTTGTTTTATGATCAGATCTCATATGGGCGTTTTACCATTAAGCGAGGAAGGAACTGTGAGATCGACTTGTTCATCGTGCAATCTGATGGCCGAAAGATCCTTGACTCGAGCAAGCTAAATGCATTGATTACTCGTTTAAGAGCAGAGCTACAGCAACCTCTGAGAGTGGTAATGATGAATCGAGGTCCAGATACTGAACTTCTAGTCACAAACCCTGTTGAATTATCAGGAAAGGGACGGCCACAAGTCTTCCACGACATAGCACTTGCCCTCAAGAAGATCAATACCTGCATCTTCTCGGTATAACTCATCCAATCACACCATTCAAGCTCATACCAAACAAACACTTTTTTCTATCACCTAAATTCCATGAATCAATGTCTTTAATAGGCTGAAATTGGAAGACACGTGACTGGAGACAGGGAATGGGAGGTGTACAAAGTGTTGATCAACGAAGAAGACAGCTTACCGATCCCGAAAAGCAAGATAGAGGAACAAGTGTGGAATACTTTGATGGGTTGGGAGTGAAAATCTTCAGACTGTAGGACCATCAGCTAACCTCAGACTCATCGAAAGAGTATGGCTATAAGATTGTCACTTTATGATGCCTGATGCAATGAGTGTATGTAGATTAATATGATATGAGGAGATTTATCTGATAAGCCACAGTGTGTGTATATATATGGTTTTGAGTCTTTTTAATGTTGATGAGAAATTGTAAGTAGACGAAGAAGAATGTTGAATTTTGTTAATGAGAGTGTTGTTTCATAGAAAGGAAGAAGCTAATGAAGAGAGTGGCTATTTCGTAATTAAGTATTGAATGAGGGGCAAAAAGTGAAGGAGAAACCTATGAAAAATGGCGACTCTTTAAGAAGCACACGAAGACAATCCGAAAGCTGACCACAAAGTTTTCGACTTTGCAATTTAGATAAATCTTTCTATCCATTTACACAACAACAAAAATTAAGGGCTCTCAATTTCGAGTTCTGCTTCACTGTTTTCCGGCGAAAAAAACGAATCTTTAATGGCGAAGAAAGGAGGAGCAACGCTAGCTGAGGATGCACCATGGCGAGTTTCGTCAGGAAGACCAGTGCCTAAGATCAGTCGCTCTCCGGTTTTATCTATCTCTCAAAACCCAGAATCCGATTACGCCATTTCCGTCATGAAGGTTGTTCCTTTCGTTGTTTTGCAAATTGCAATCAAATTTGGGAATTTCACTGTTTTTTAATTATGGGTTTGCGTGTAATCTCTGCAGCATCCGAATCCAGTGGGAGGTGGGTTTGCGATGGAAGCTGTACTTGAATCTGCAGGACCTGAATGCGTTGTCCCTGGCCAAGTTACACCTCTTCGGTTACTTGGTGTTAAGGTTACTTCTTGATATATTACTAAATAATTTTGAGTTCTTGATGATGTTTGAGTGTTGGATTGTGGAAAGAATGATGATAGTTATTTGTTGTTCTTGCATGTGTGTAGTAGAAGTTTTTATTATCCTAATTGACTTAGAATTCTTACAGGAAAGATGTGTCTGTGTATCATCTTTCTGTTGTCTTCCTTTTTGTATAATGTTCTAGTTTATTTGTTAGTTTTGTGTAAGTTTTGATCTTTGGCTCACACTTGAGAATAGTTTCTTAAACCGTAACTGCGTAGCTTTGCACATAAGGGGTGTTGCTATAGGATTACAAGGGAAACATTATCTTTGTCAAGTCTGATGTTTTGACTACTTTCTCTTATATTCTTATTGGTTTTATTCACTCATGGTTTATGAGGTTTTGATTTGCTAATAGTTTTATGTTTGGTGTTTTTGAATAGGTGTGGCCAGTTGAAGTTGATCTTAAATTCTTGGAACCTGTGGGAAAAGAGCTGAAAATGCTTGGGAAGGTAAACGACCCACGTCTTGTTGCTTTGTGTCTTAATCAAATTTATGCACTTGTACATGATCCCTTGTCAATATGAGGCAATACCTTGGATGATCTTGTTTTATTCTCTGTATTTGTTTGAGGCTATAATTTGAACTGTTAAATCTCTTGTTTGCCTAAGGCTAGTGTGTTATGTGAAGTTATTCTAAGAGGGGATTAGGTTGTTGTATCCTATAACTCTATCGCATATCAAGATCATAGATGGGTAAGCTGGTTAGTTAGGACAAAGCCTAAAGTAATCATGTGGCTCAACAAGCGGGACTTAGTGGGAGTTGAACCCTGGTATCGTTTCTAGTCTAGCCACCTGGTTCTAACCGAGAAAACTGAAGTCTAATTGGGATGCATAGAGAATCATCTTCACACAAACAGCTAATGTCAGAAAATATGGATTAGACCAGGATTTTGATTGAGAATCGGATCAATCATTATCGTACTTAATAATGAAATGTGCTCAGCACATGGTATGAACGCATTAAATACAGAAATTCTTGTACCTATTTTCTGTTTTGTACTTTTGTTAGACTTGATCATATTTGATGTTCTATTATCTTTGGCTGTAAGTTAACAACGATCTCTCTGTTGTTTCTGAGAATGCAGTTCATGGACAACGCCGTCGAGCTGATGAATAAGTCCTTCATTGACCGCTAAGCACTATGGATAACGGGTTATATACTTGTCAAGGTTCTACACCTGGAGTTTTGGAACTGCGGGAGATCTGTCTAGTCGCCAGAACTTGTTAGTGGCAGAGAGATCTGATATGAGCAAAGTTGAATATGGTGTGTATTTGTATAGAGGATTTTACAGACAGAATCTATATACTATCAATCATTGGTTTGAATGACAGTTTTAAAAATGTCTTTAAAGGTTTATCTCTCCAATGTTCTTCAAGTTTTCCAGTCATCCTCTTTTGAGTTCCAAAATGGGATCAAGAATAAAGCATCTTTCATCAATGGACCTAATACGATAAAAAGTTTTTATCGATTTCAGCAACTACACATGGTAAAACACGCAGGTCAAAATCCACACAGAAATCAGAACTCGACGTAAAACTTTTGCACTGTCAAAACCAAACGGCTTGTTAACGAAAATCTTAAACCGGAAAAATAACAAAAAAAATAAGATTAACGTCCATAAACTACCAAAAACATACAAACTATTAACATCTTATACTCACTTTATAAACTAAGGAGGGGGTATTGGATAATTGAATTTAAAAGAATTCAAATGAATAGAAAAATAAAAGATTTTAATGTATTTGACAGATTCTATCCAAATCACACCATAATAGGTGGGATTTGTTTCTTCACGTTTTTGTCTTTGATTTCTTTTAAATTCTAATCAAATCACATTGCCATTAAAACAATCTTAATACTGAATAACAATATAATTTAACAGAATTCTAAAACCAACAAATTGAATAACAGTAGAATTTAATAGAATTCTAAAACCAATCAATTGAATAACACTATATTTAAATAGAACTCAGCCTAACCTAAAAACTGACGGAATAAAATTGTTGAAGTAGTGTGTTGTTTCACGTAATCAATATGGTTTAATAAACTTATAAACAAGTATAAATATTATTGAGAAGTGACGTTGTCGTTGGAGTAAAAGAAAGAAAGAAGCAAAAAAACTATAAATAATCACGGAGAGAATGTTAGGCACCGCCGCACCGGCCCATTTGAATTCAGAAACATAATCTCTCCACAAACCCAACGACGTGTGTGTACCAGTTTTACTTTAGATGTCTAATGATGAAGATCTGTGGATGTTTGGGACCCAAACATCAATAATTTATGCAAAGGTCAGTCACTCGGCTATTTACTTTTTAGCAGATAGCGACCAGCTGTCCTCTTTTACTGTCCATTTTTCAATCACTTTTGATAGTATTTTGGCTTTGTCCCTCGTGCGAATCTGTATCCCATATTGTTTTGTTATGACATATTTAACGATAATTTGTGACATAACTTTTGCCATAACGTGGTTAATTAGTGCCAGAAAGATGCTTAGTTTGTATATATTTTCAATCTTCACAATAGCAGGAAGATAAAAGGAAATGCCAACAAGTTTGATCTAATTGCTTTTGATATATTAGAGAAAAAAATTAAAAAGAGTAAAATCAAAAATCAACATAAAAAGAAAAAATTATTGCAGCTAGTCGTTTTAATCAAAACACTAATATAACTGCTAGATTAAATTATTACAGTTTGATTCGGTTCAACTTTCACTTGGGATTAAATTCTAAATATTTTGCGTGTAAGAAAAGTTTGTGTTTAGTTCATGTGACCGACCTCTTCTAATTAATAAAAGAAGAACTAGATTTGTGACTTGTGAGAGCCATATGATTGAAAAAGGACAATAAGGTTTGGTACGAGTTATGATTGTACTCTTATTATACTATTCACTCACAAAAAGGTCGATGAGAAATTACACATTTATAGGGGAAATGGAAAGAGAAACCTACAAAAACATTAGGTAAAAGTTTCCAAAATGGCACATGGGTATTGAATATTTTATCGAACATTCTAGATAATATAATATATATAAATTTTCTTTTGCCAAAATCATACAACAGTATATAAATGAGTTTAAATGGCCTATAAAAAATCTTGAGATCATCTCTTAATCTAACTATAGGAAAATGGTGATCACATTTGAAAGATAGATACTCTAATGTAACGAAGCATATTTACTTACAATGTTTTTGTAGAGAAACTAAAAAACTTAATCAGAAGATACTATGTCGGCAATTGCACCAGTGTACGATTCTGCTTGTGGGCCGATTTTTCAAACTTGTATTCAGTAGAAGAAAAGAGAATGAATAGTAAGGAAGAGGCTAAAAATTGGTGCAGGCGTTTTCACGTGCTTGCATCTTTTGCACATCCGTATCCATTTGGTTCAAAGATTTTGAAATATCTCTAAATGCCAAACCAAACAGAATTCTAATTTTGGTTACAAAGATCGAAAGCCCCTTACAGTTTTCTTTTCCTGCCGAAATATCGGAACAAAAACGAAGACATTAGACAATGAAGGGATTTCAAATTGGATCACTGTTTTGAAACACAGGCCAAATATCAAACTTAGCATCTCATCGGATCATGTCTTGATTTTGTTCGGACCAGTTCAACATGTATGGTTGAGATTTGAGATCTCGTTTGCTAAACAATATTACTGCATAAAATAAGTAAAACGAAAGCAACATAAAACTAATCAATCTTTTGTCATTGGCTTTAATTTCCTTAATTCACACCCTTTACAAAATGCAAATACAAAGCAACATAAAACTAGAAAAGCCGTATCCACTATTGAGTATTGATTGACTAGTAACCCTCAATGACTGACCCCTACAATTTCATTTTACTCCCTTATTGGTTATTGCAAAACGCCAACAATCCCAACTTTCAAACTTTTACACATATATACATATGGTGAATTTTGTCTTCTTCTTTTTCTTTTTTTTTGTTAAAGATATGGTGAATTTTGTTAGACTTAAATAGATCGAAACTTGTATCAAAGTTTCTCAAGCTTTTTAAAAAAAAATTATTAGTCTGCTATCTAACAGGAAAATATCACGACCATAGATAGCATATATAGCCTCTGTATTTAAGTTAATGTGTAATAAAACTGACGCGGAAATTAAAAATTTGACAAAATGGCACAAAGAAAAATTGCAATTCACTTGAAAACTTAAGATGAGATAGATACATAATTCACATTATAGTTGCAAATTCTATTGAGCACTCTTGAAACCAACGGACAAGGATTCATCTAAAAGATCCAACGATCATAAACCCCTTGATGATTCGAAATTACACAAACGGAAATCAAAAGACATTGAAATTCAAATTCAAAGACGAATAAAATTACACAAGAGAGAAAAAGAGAGATTAATTCAGTAGTCGGTGGTTGGGAGCTGTTCGTGGGTGGTGTTGATGAAGAAAACTTCGTAGATGAGTCCAGCGATTCCACCGCCGACTAGAGGACCGGCCCAGTAGACCCAGTGGTTGGTCCACGTCCAGCTCACCACCGCTGGTCCAAAAGCCACGGCGGGATTCATGGAGGCTCCGGAGAAAGCTCCTCCAGCTAAGATGTTGGCTCCAACTATGAAACCGATTGCGATGGGAGCAATTGTTCCAAGACTCCCGTTTTTGGGGTCAATGGCGGTGGCGTAGACGGTGTAAACAAGCCCGAATGTCATCACGATCTCGAAAACGAAAGCGTTCAACACTCCTACTCCGGCAGAGAGACCAAAAGCCGGCACGGCCTAAAATTTTCAAAGGTTAATTAGTTACTTGATGAAGAAGTTAGGTCAAAAGAGATAAATCATTCCAATAAAGGGCTTAAGGGTAGTTTGACATACCAAACCACCGGTGGCGAATTTGAGGATGAGACAAGCGACGACAGAGCCGAGAAGCTGAGCAATCCAGTAGAGGATACCACGGAGGAGAGTGATGTTACCACCAATGAAAGCACCGAAAGTGACGGCAGGGTTAACGTGTCCACCGGAGATGTTAGCACCAACGGAGACAGCGACGAAGAGTCCAAAAGCATGAGCCAGTGCGGCAGCTACAAGACCAGAAGGAGTGGTGGCTCCGTTTTCAGTGAGCTTGTTAAAGGCCATGCCAGAGCCTGAACCGGCGACGACGAAGATCAAAGTTGAAATGAACTCAGCCAACGCCGCCTTTAAGGCGTCGGGACGGGTTGCTTCATCAGGACGGCCAACGGCGATGTTTCTGATCGGCATGATCGGACGGCTGAGAATTAATCGTCAAGATGCTAAAAGAGTGAGAGATGGATTTGATGATTTTTTCTGGTCTACTATGTGCTCTTACTTATATCTGAGGTGGCGCCATTTTGATGACTGGTTACCGGATGAGAAATTATTAATAAGTTATTAATTTTTGTTGGAAATTATATGATTGGAGCGGTTAGAGATTTAAATAATTTTGAAAACAGGCTAAACAAGTACATCGCTGTAATTCCAGCGAAGCGGAACCGACCAATCTACGTGGCGGATAATGACTTGTCATGTTTGTACATGTATAGAGCTTTTGTCCTTTTTTCATATTCTCTCTCTCGAATCATCGAGAGTTCTAGAGGAAAATAATACGATTTTATTCTTCTTTTTCTCCAACTATTTTGCTAAGAGGTTTTTACTTGATTAGTGGTAGAATTTAATCTTTCGGATATATGTTGTAAAAAGACTCAACTATTAGATAGAAGGTTTAGTAAACTCTTTTATGAAAATACAAAAAAGCTCCAATTTTTTTTTTACTAAATGTGGTTGCCAAAAATATTTCATATCTATAGTCATTTCAATTTGTTTCTTCCTTATTTATTATCTGTCGTTGTTTTTTTTTTTGTTGTCGTTGTTTTCTCTGGGGTCTTTGTTCTTGAAACATAAATAATTCTGTGTAGATAAGTCACGGCTAGTTTTATGAATTTGATATTCGAAGTGACATTACATGCTAACCATATATTATGATATTTTTTTATATTATCGTTAAGTAGAATTATGTAGCATAAATGATATCTATGCCAAATCACTCCGCTTTATCCTAATCGCAATTCTTTCAACTCGCTCTCCACGTATAGGAGAAATTATAAGATGTTATCTTGTTTATGGCACCAATTTTTTTATGATTATAGAAAAATTGATAATATTATTGTTTATGGCACCAAATTCTAACATTCCTCTTGTACCAAAAAAAAAATTATAACATTCCAATCTCACAATTTTTCATATATCATACAAATAGATAAATATATTTATTTAGCATTTTATTTTGTAGGCCAATTATCTATTGGGCAAAAAGTATTGTGTGACGGCCCTCCACTTAAGGCAAAATAATAATTTATGAATGTCCTACCACCACGATGCAATCTGTCCCTTTTGGGCGGTTTAGGTTTACAATTCGGCTGAGAGGTACTGCCAGAAAGAGATTATTTTCCACAAAAAATTAAAATGTCATATTATTTATTAAAAAAATAATAATAATCTAAGACGTGATAAATTAGTTTTTTGTTTAATTTGATTTTTTTTTAATACTATGTATTTTAACAGTGTGGCAATTTTTATTTATTTTACAATCCTTGAAAAAATAGCTTTTTTGAAGTTTTTTTTACAGTTCGAAGTTCATACAATTGATTTAATTTTCTTTATAGAAAAAAGAGCCCGATGGATTATATATATTGGAAGGGATTAAAGCGATTGCTTTATTTTTAACACATGAAACATGAGTCGTGTGTGTGTAGAGAAAATTATAATACGATACCAAACCAACTATCCTATCACACAACACGGGACAAAGTTGATATCTTACAATGTCGATTTCGGAAATTTATTTCTATCCTCTCTTTCAAACATACTGTGACTTGTGATTGATAAACATGTGAAACTTTTTCTTTGATGTATAAAGTCGTGTGGTTTTAGAACTACCTAGATTGGGGTGGATTGTTAGGTGGATCCATTGTTTTTGGTGGTTCGCATCAAAGAACATTGATGGTGCACATCAAATGGCATGTTTGGTCTATCACGAATGTTCTAGTGAGAGATGTTCTAGTATATATCTTTCACCATGTTACACGTACAATACTTCTCCAAAGCACTAATCCTCTGAATTCGTCATATATTGTGACAATTGATTGGTGGATTTCTTCAGTGATTTTTCGCCACCAATTTTAAACCTTTTTTGAGAAGAAGCATTTTTGGACCGTTTACCTTACCTTTTACAACTAATTAAGAGTTCAAATCATTAACTATCTTAAACGTTGAAAAAGCCAAACATATACGTGGACATAATTAAAGTCGTTCAATTTTTATGAACGTTACTAATCTGAAGTTTTGAACCATCATATTTTTTTAAATCGAACTACAATGTATAGTTTTAGAAAATAATTCAAAATTTCATTTCAAAAAGAAAAACGAAGAACATGAAACTGATCCATAATGACCATACTAGTTTTTATTTCATTTTTTGCAATAGATTTTCGAAGCTATGAAGTTTTTATTTATAAATAAAACTTGAACATATATATATATGTATATATTGAGCATTTTTATGTAGATATGTGAAAACGATTTTTTAATATATTTTTGTTGTTTAATGCTTAAAAAAGTAATCAAAAGTTAACTAAGGCCCTGTTTGTTTCATCATTTTACATTTGCATTCAAATGGTCCATTTATATGATTCATTTGGATGATTCATTTGAATGATTCATTTGGATGATTCATTTGAATGATGCATTTGAATGATGTTTGTTTTAATATTTGTTATTTCATTCAAATGGATCTTTTTTTGTTTGATCATTTTGTAATTCATCATAAATCTCATATAGACCAAAATGACTAAAACACCCATGCTTTCATTTTGACAAATAATCACATATAAAAACTAAATAAATTATTATTTTAACATATAAAAATTAATTTTATTTATAGTTATTAAAATATATACAAAATAATTATACAAGTTTGGCCGGAAAACATGATTTTGCGGGTTTTGGCAAAATATATAATTTTTCTGTTTCGGCGGGAAAATATGTTTTTTGTGATTTTTAACGAAAAAATTAATATGATAAGAAATATGATTTGCCGTTGGCAGAAAATATAACTTTGCAGTTTTGGCGGGAAAATATGATTTTACGGTTTTGGCGGGAAAATACGATTTTGCGATTTTGGCGGGAAAATATGATTTTGCGGTTTTGGCGGGAGAACATGATTTTGCGATTTTGGCGGGAAAATATGATTTTACAGTTTTGGCGGGAAAATATTATTTTGCAGTTTTGGCGGGAAAACATGATTTTGCGGTTTTGGCGGGAAAACATGATTTTGCGGTTTTGGCGGGAAAATATTATTTTGCAGTTTTGGCGGGAAAACATGATTTTGCGGTTTTGGCGGGAAAATATGATTTTGCGGTTTTGGCGGGAAAATATGATTTTGCGGTTTTGGCGGGAAAATATGATTTTGCGGTTTTGGCGGGAGAACATGATTTTGCGATTTTGGCGGGAAAATATGATTTTACAGTTTTGGCGGGGAAAATATTATTTTGCAGTTTTGGCGGGAAAACATGATTTTGCGGTTTTGGCGGGAAAACATGATTTTACGGTTTTGACGGAGAAAATAATTTTGCGGTTTTGGCAAAAAAATGTAATTTTATAGTTTTGGTGGAATAGTGCTTTCTATAATTTTACATCAAAAATTATGATTTTACAGTTTTTGGCAGAAAAACGCAATTCCATGATTTTACGATTTTGACGTAAAATAATAATCCGTGATTTCATGATTTTTAGAGTATTTTTTGGTTCCAATATGTAATTTTAAAAATATTAAATAAGAAATCTATAGAAAATAATATTATTTAAAATATGATTGTATAAGAGGGTATATCTGTCTTTTGTTTTTTTTGAATGAACCATCTCCATCCAAATGGTTCAATCAAGTTCATCCAAATGAGTTTCATAAATTTGCCTAAATTTAAAAACTCATTCAGATGGATCATCTAGATGATCCATCCAAATGCTTGTTAAATTGTCAAAAACAAACATCATTTTCCAACTCCATCTAGATGGATCATTTGGATGGAGAAACAAACAGGACCTAAGACATCATCATCTTACCGAAACTATTTTTTATCGTTAATTATGAAAATGATTAGGTTTGGTAAGTTTGGGCATATTCTCTCTCTTTCTCAAGTTTGTGAATTGTGGGGTTGTGGTCGGTGTACTATTATATTCAAGTGCTCTTATTTAAATCATTGTCAATGTCTATCGGTAAATTAAAAATACAATGAAATATTTGGAAGATATATATGACAAATATGATTTTTTTTTTTATCATGACAATGTTGTTATATGGGAAGTATTATCTTTTTTTTGCAAAAGAGATAAGAGACACGAATCTATATGATCAATAAAAAAAAATAAACGAGGCTTTAGTTTTGGTTTTTGCTCGCGAGAACACACATTTTCTCGGTACAACACACGTCTAACGCAGGAGACATCTCTTATTTTCTCCAGGAGAATTTTTTAGAATTACCACTGCTTGGCTTTTATCATGTTTGGTTTCTAGATTGTTTTCACAAATCAAAGATAGAATTAAGAGGATTAACTTAAATTGTATGGTTATTGGATCTGAAATAGAGACATGTATCTCGTTTAATGCTAGAGTTTTGTTAGTGTGGCGATAGAATCTTATTGTAAGATAAGATAGTCGAAATAATTTTATAGTGAATGTCTGAGAACGTATGTACGTTGATAGACTCGTGTTACTATAATTCGTCACTGTTCCATTTTGTTATTTGTTAGTATCAAAGTTTATCTATTTAAATCTTTACAAATTTTAAAAATAGAGGGGAATATAAGTTCGTTTAGATTTCACATCGACTATATTTTTCTTTAATATGTTTGGTTAAAATGATAATTTATTTATGGGATTTAATTTATACTGAATCTCATTTTTAGACCAATATGAATTTTCAGCTAACAAAATTAATAAACAACAGAAAGTAAATTTTGTCTATTAAACCCAAAATAGTTTTTGTTGTTTTGGTCAAAACCAAACCCAAAATAGTTAAGTCGTCAAAAATGAGGGAAAAAAACAAAATAATATTTCCCAATATGATCGTTAAGTCGGCGAACTACAATCCACACCGCCCAATCTATTAATCCGGCCAGCCAATAAGAAAAAAGAGTTCACATCACATTATTATTGTTGACTTAAATAATACTTTTAATGATTTTTCTTTAACGCGATAAAAGAGTATATGCAAATTTAAATGGCTTCTTAAGGCGAAGAAATAATAAATCACGTTGACAAATTAAGATATTTTAAAATATACTAGATACTAGGACCCCTAATGAATACAATCATCTAACCACAAGTTTATTCATTTGACAGTAGTTAAATTACCAGATTTAGTTATTTTCAAAAGTAATAAAGCGGCAAAATCAAAATTAGAAGAAACTTATATTTATAATTGGGTATAAATCAAGCGGCAAAATCATATTCAGTTAATACTTAATCATAATCGTAAATTTCATCTATGTTAAACAAGTGGTTGAGTTTTGGGCCATGTCAAAAAGTGATCATTGGCCCAATCGGTGTAAATAAACTTTTAATTCTAATGCTTTTACTAACGCATGAGAAGTTTAACTCACACTGTCAGTCTGTCACACACATCATACAAAAGTCAGTGACAAACCAAATCTGCCTATATATATATGTCTTTGGGAGAAGTATTTTTTCCTGACCAGTGATTGTCTTCCGTTTTTGATACCGACCCAAATAACGTACCGTCTCCGGCTCTTCATGGTACATTTTCTCGGTGACATTTACCATACACTGCTTTATTTTTGTGCCCATTAAAATTCTGCTAACTTCATGTTCGACTTCGTGCTATCATCTCAAGATGTTGTATGTAGAAGCTCAATTACTACAAAACTAAAAGAAAATGTGTTATATGGGAAGTACGGTTTAACAATACAAAAACCCAAACATCATCACGAATTGACGCATACGAAAAAGAGATTATCAACAAACAACATTTCAAAAAATGAACGAAGGGAAAACTAAGTAAAGAAAAACACCAAACAAAACGTTGCACAAAAAAAGAAGAGAAACACAAAACAAGATAGTGATTAAAGTCTTATAACTACAACATTTTAAGATATAACTTCCAACTTTTGACAAAAAAAAAAAAAAGATATAACTTCCAACATGTAGATATATCTTTTTAGGCACAAAACGCATTTCATTTAGCTGCGATCAATGATTAATAAAACACCAGCCAAAGTCTTATACTTGCCTGTTTTGTGTTCTCTAGCCAAACTCCGATCAGTTTACCGTCTGTACCGAAGTCGTTTAAAGTTGAAGTACAAGTGTAGAATCCCATGCTCGAACGTGTATTTGTAACCTTTCTTACGAGATTTCTCCCATTCCTTATTCACAATCCGGAACGCAATGTCTTCATAAGGCGGACCAGCTTCGAACCGGATTATACAAGTTTCAGAGCTTGTCCCATCTTTTTCTATAGTGCAAGTGGGAACCTCAGTGTCGTCTACTAAATCCGGGTAGAAGATGTTAAACTTGTACCCTTGAACAAATTTTGGAGGGGGGTTATCGTGATCATAGTGTGTTTGGTTATACTTATTCCACTCGTAACCCGTGTGAACTTGGTTGAAATACTTGGGTTTTCTAGGCCGGTACTTGTCATGCCACTTGTATACCTTGGAATCAAGGTTCACTTCAGCATTAGAGCCAAATACAACATCACCTTCCTCCATTGTTTTCATTGCCTTAAGCTCCAAGTTATCTTCTCTAAGCCGCTTCCTCTGTTCCTCCAACACAATCATCCGTTCCATCTCCAGTAGGGTCTTGTCTTCCTCGGGATCGATTGCTTCTTCACGATAATCACCGTGCATCAGCTCTGGTGAAAACGAACCAGCCTCTTCTTGTGTGAATATATCTTCATCATCTGAAAGATTCATGCCGTTTATTACCTCCTCCTCATTTTCATCCACCACATGATTAAATTGTACATCTGAAAGTTGCTCGAGGCGATGTTGATGTCTCTTGAGTATCTCAGCGTTTATTTCCTTCAAGCAAGCTTTTGCCTTGTATATATGGATGCGTCTAAGAACCGCTTCCCAATACTCCACTACTTTGGCTACTCCAGAACGCAGCTGCGATTCGATGTCAAACTGCAGTTGTACAAGCTCCGCGTGAGTCTTCCCATCAAGAAGTTCTCTCACATCAGCTTCAACACCAGCGTGTAGTCCTCTTTCTTGAGCAGCAAGAAATTCCTCCTCTCTAACCCTAGCTGGATCTAGGGCATCCCTTTTACGACCTTCAGCTAACTCCCATTCGCATAACACAATAAGCGCCTCCCAATACTGTACCCGTGTTGGAGTTGCTCGATCCCAATCCAGATACATTTTGATATCATTATGAAGCTCTTCCATATCTTTAACATTAAGTCCCTTGAAAACCATGTAAGGTTCACTGATGAGCTCGATATCCATATCATCCACATACTTATAAAGAACATCAATTGGCTTTGCTCGACCTTCAAGTAATCTAATCTTTGACCTAACCTTGCTTTGTTCGAAATTAAACTCTTCTTCTTTCTTCTCCGAATCTTGAAACTCAGCTCGAGCACGTTCTCTAGCCAATAACGCCATATCTTCCTCATGTCGAGCTCTCTCTTCTGCTGTCTCTTCTCTTCTCTTCTTAAAATTTTCAACTTCTGCCATCGTTTCTCTAAGTCTTCTCCTCTCAGCTTTAACAGAGAATTTATCCAGTGATGCTCCATGATGTATATCTTTTTCAATCTTCTTCCGCCACACGAAAGTCTCGGCTAGGTTCGAATCACCAAAAGGGTTTGAATCATTGGAGTACCCAAAAACTGACTGTCTCTTCAGTTTCTTTGAAGCACTTAATGCCTTCTTCAGAGCTCTTTTGGCCATATACTCCTTGATTTCGTCCGATGAGTTCAAATCAATGGATTCATCTCTCTGCTTCTTATGCCTTCCATGTCTATCTCTCTTACTCTTACCATGAGAATTCATATTTTCTTGTTGGAGACGACGATCTGAGATCAGTGGGACGGTAGTGAAGGTGGTGGAAACTTCTCCTCTCCGATAATAATGGATCTTGTGATTGAAAACTGATTTCAGAATATCGAATTGTGTTTCGTTCGAGCCTTACGCGTTTATAGCTAGAAAAAAGCTAAACCTAGCCCAAAACAAAACTGAAGAAGGGTCAAGATTAATGTAATTTCCTACTCTAAAAGATAATTACCTATTCCATATTTTTAAATAATCTCTTCTAATTGCACACCACATTCGATCTCTTTTTAAAAAATAAATTAAATTAAAGTATTAAAAAGATGAATTATTTTAGATTTCAATCGGTGTTGGAATCAATCTCATTAACAAAAAAAAAATCAGGGATTTTACAAGATATGGCCAACGTAAAATATAAACTAGAAAGTAGAAACTTTACATAATTTCTTTATGCTCTATCACAAATTCAAAATAAGAAACAAGTTTACTTTTATTTCAAATAAAATAATTAGGAAAAAATTAAATCATTAAAATAATCAAATAAAGGAAACTCTTGCACGAAACGTACATCACATTATGGAAAGGAAAAAGAAATTAAAAAAAAATTTAGGAGGAAGAAGGTGAGAAGAAGCAAACATAAGAAAAAAGCTAAGAAGAAGCAAAGCCAATTCACTAGAGAAATGTACGTTCTGCTCACATGTACTCACAAGACTACTGTTGGGAACTTGGCAAGTATGTATCATTAGATTCAAGTCGGTGTGTAAAGTATGAAAATCGCTCATTGGAATCCGCACTCTTCCGCCATTTCTTCATCAATAGTAAGAACTCTAATTCAACCTCTCCTTCTTAGTAGATCCTACGCGAAGATAATGTAGAGTTATAAATTATCGTTTGGAGGAATTGGAACTTAATCTTCCACAAGAGAGTCATGGTAATACTTGTCTTTTGCAAAACGAGTCTTCTACTCACTTGTGTATAATTTTTGGTAGTATACAAAAAAATGGAAAAACAAAAAGAAGCCAAAGGTAAAAGAAAGAGTATATTTTACCCATCCATACACCAAAATGATCATCATCCTAATTGTGTCACTTATTAGTGTTACTAGTTACTACTCCATTTTGCTGCATCCAACACTTGCATTCCTCCATTCAAAGCCATAGTTTTTTTTTTCTTTGTTTTTACAAAGCCAAAATTTTTCTCTACTTTTTAACCATTAGATCAAATATTAGTTTTGGAAAAAAAGAACATAGTGATTCAGAGAGCACCGCTAAATTATTGGGCCAATAATTTTGAGCATTCTTATCAATCTAATAATTAAACAAAAGAATGATCCAAAAGCAACGGGCTTAAAAACCCGCTATTATACCCGACCCGTATTGTCGGGTATGGGTCCATTCGGTTACAATTGGTTTCATATATTTGTTTTCTTCCCCCAAACTTTTTCTTTTTAACATTCAAGTCCCTCCGACAAGAGGCGACGCGAAATTATAACTACCGAGCTCCGAGAGCTGTCTCTTTCTTCTTACCTCTCTCGGTCGGAATCTTCTCCGTCTGAAAAAATCTTGATCGATCAAAACAGTCGAATTCTGGTATTAGAAATTCTGGGTTTTTGAAAGAGTTGATCGATTTTTGAATGGCTTCTTCAAGTTTGGGGAGCTCAATCCCTGCACCAGGTAAAAACTTTCTTCCTAAATCTTCGATTTCGATTTCTCAAATTGATAAGTGTATTGGTTGTTTTGGTTGAAACTCTTGAATTGTGTAATTGGGTCAACATTGGTTTTGGCAATGTCTATTTTATCTGATCATGTTTTTTGATTAGGAAACTAAAGTTTACTTTTTTATTTTGTTGGCAGAGGCTGTTCAACTTCTGGTATCGTCTCTAGCTGATGATTCCTCTGTGGTTAGAGAAGCTTCCATGGCTTCTCTTAGAGATATTGCCTCGCTGTATGTACTATTTATCTCCTTTACTTCATACACAAGACATGCACTATGAGTATTGGGAGATCTCTGATACTCAACTGTTGTGTGATATCTTTTTCTAGGAATCCGCTTCTGGTTCTTGATTGTTGCTATGCTGTGTCTCGTGGAGGACGCAGGGTAACGTTCTGTTTGCTTGTTTTTTTTTTTTCTCTGTTGGCCGTCTTTTGTTTCCTTTAATTGGTGAGTAAATTTGGTGTTGTTCGGTGTTGCAGCGGTTTGGTAACATGGCTGGGGTTTTTCAAGTAATGGCATTTAGTGTCGGTGCGTTAGAGAAAGGGGAGATCGATGCAGTTTTCATGGGAAAGCTTGCTAAGATTGCTACAGCTGAGATAATATCTTCCAAGGTGTGTTTTGAAGGCTTAACCGATGTCAAAGATTTCTTTTTTATACTTATTATAGTTAGACTAGTTAGACAGATTTACATAGTGAAGCTGGAATCGTAGATGGAACTTTTGAAAAGTCAATAGCTTGTTTCAGATACATTTTGAGGCTTTTCACTCTTGGAATTTCTGTTTCGATGTCTGTTTTTTTCTCCCTCTATCTTCTGTGGCATTTATGTGCCTTAAGCTAAGAAGGTTTGGGGATTTTTCTTATTCGCTAGACAGGAGATGAACCATATGTCGCTCATTCTTGTAGCAGAGGTCACCTAAAAGTTTGACATATAGAATTCAGGATTAGATGATTGAGAAGTTCTCATCAAACATAAGCAACATAATTTCTAGAAAACAGAGGAAACTTATTTCAATGGTTACAAACTTTCTCGCAATTGTTCGTATATGTTGATCGATTTTGGATCTTTTAATGGTTCATCATAACGTAGGAACTAAATGCTGATTGGCAAAGGCAAGCATCAATGCTGCTCGTCTCAATTGGAACACATTTTCCTGATCTTGTAAGTCTTTTTTTCCCTGTTTGCTAATTCAAAGGAGGATATTTTGACATTGAAGAAACAACTGTTTGTTTAGTACCATGTGACTGTACACTCCTGTCTCCTGAGTTGTTGCCTTTTACTATAGACAAAATCTTGCTGTAAGAGGGTCACTGTACAACATGATTGGTGGTGATGCATTAACAACCTGTATTTAATTCCTGGGCTCTGCACATATGTGATCTAAGTTTAAAGAATGATCATTATGCTGGAGTAGGTGGTTATCTTTGATAGATTGCGTGACACAAGATGTGTAGCTGGTGAGAAAACCATAGTAGAGACTTTCATCTATCATCATGTTAACTTCTATATTGAGGCATTTAAGATAGTGTCGTGAATAAAGCTGGTCCAGTGTCTCTCTACTGTCATTTATGAGGTAGATGGCAGCCTATTCCGTTAGACGTGGGGCTTGATTTTCCTTCACCAAGCTCTTTTTTTTTTGGATAAAATCCAAGTTATCTGATATTTTTTAATTGATATGGACAGATGATGGAAGAAATATTTCTTCATCTGTCTGGTCCGGCTACAGCTGCACCTGCTATGGTTCAAATACTTGCTGACTTTGCTTCATCTGATGGTTAATTTCTAACTCTCATTCGCGGCCCTTTTAACTTTTTCGTTTCTCATATTGAAAAGTTTATAAAACTTGCAGTTCTCTGATATTTTGAATTACTTGCATATTTCCTTTGAAGCTTTGCAGTTCACTCCACGCCTGAAAGGTGTACTTTCAAGGGTGTCGCCTATTCTTGGGAATGTTCGGGACGTACACCGACCAATATTTGCAAATGGTACAGTGACATTTTTGTAATGTTTAGGGAGTGGAACTCTTTTATAGAAACTTCTACTTTGTGCCAATTTCCCTCCCCCAACCTATTAGGTTAGTTATTCTGGCCTAATAGAAGGCTCATCAGGTCAGAGTTTGTTTTCTTGCTGAACAATATGGCAATTTAATTCATACTAACATAAAAGTAGGTTATTCACCTGTTGTTCTGTACATCTTCGCTCTATAATGTTGGAAGAGATGATCAACATATACCATGTAATTTGTGCTAATATCAAATAGAAGGAAGAGCTTGTATAATTTAAATACCCCAGCTAGTCTCTTGTACTATCTTATTTTTGCTTATTTCGTCTCATATGAGAATCTTTGACTTTGTGTCTAGCATTTAAGTGCTGGTCTCAGGCAGTGTGGCTATACATCACAGATCTTACCTCAGATTCTCCGCTTGACAGTGATGTCATGTGAGACCACTTTCTTTGTTCTGTTTATTTCTACCAGTTTTTGTGTTGAACCCTCTCAAATCAAGGGCTTCATCTGATGCAGGTCATTTCTGAATTCAGTTTTTGAGCTATTGTTGAGAGTTTGGGCAATTTCTCGAGATCATAAGGTGAGTCCCTGATCTCTTTTAGCATTTTTCTCCACTTTAGGTTTTAATAGTATTGCATGTTTCAATTAAGAAATATTATTCAAGAGATTACCAAGGTAAGAACATGGTTCATAAATGTTCACAGACTGTTATTTTATAACAAAGACAATGGAGAAAGAGGGTAGGCAACTTTATTAAGATCAAAGAAGAAAGGAAAGTTTGTTTTCGGGTTTTTTTTTGTCTTCCCCCATCCAGTAATGTTTCTTTGAAATTCATAATACGGAGAGATAAATCTCTGCAAGATTTTTCTAGTTGGTTGTTCACCTGTTCTCCAGACATGTCTCGTGATTTTAAAGTGGGCCTCTTCTGCTGAATAAGGTACGAGTATCTACTGTAGACGCTCTGGGTCAGATGGTCGGTCTTATCACACGGACACAACTGAAATCAGCATTACCAAGGCTTATTCCAGCAATACTTGAACTGTAAGTTCTGTTTTTTTATTCTATCTCAAGCTTTACTTCTCAAAGGTCCATATAATAGTAAATTCGTTGTCTGCTTCAAATATTGCCCCACAAATGAAAGCTTTGCTAAGTTAGACAGAAGTATGTAACAAGGCATGAGATGCTTTTCGTGTAAACTTGTCTTTATTTTTAATTCTAATTGTAGTGATCATTCATTCCTTTCATTTCAATTTTTAGGTATAAGAAAGATCATGATGATGCTCTTTTGGCGACATGTAGTCTTCACAACCTTTTAAATGCCTCGTTACTTTCTGAGTCTGGTCCTCCACTGCTTGATTTTGAGGTAATGGTGTTTCCATCATATTTTGTTGCTAAGGTGCCTCTTTATCTACAGTCATCTGGTACATTGTTGTTTGGATGTGATGCGGTATTGGAACGATACTAAATATTTTGTTATACAATGTCTCAGTTAAGTTTTGTTTCTTGTCAGGACCTCACAATTGTGCTGTCAACACTTCTTCCTGTGATCGGTATCAATAGTGAAAGAAAAAGGTGCTCAGATATTTCAGTGGGGCGAAAGGTAAGTCACTAATCGCTTTCATTCTATTTATTGTTACAGGGTTGGGGTGAGAGTGTGCTCTTAATGCACCATAAAAGTTTCAGGCTTCTATCATGTTTGAGCCTTATTTTGGGAGCGATGTATTAATCTTTTGCCTGTTCTTTATTCTTTGTGTTGCAGACATACAATGAAGTGCAGCGGTGTTTTCTGACTGTTGGCTTGGTTTACCCTGAGGATTTGTTTACATTTCTTCTTAACGTAAGGACATCTTTTGTTTGATAGATATGGCTCTAGATATTCTTTGTGTATGCAATGCGAAACAGTGGCAATACCTAGCACTCATATTAGACTCAAGAACTATTCCTTGCCACACATCTGTGTGATATCTTATACGGGCTTTTTATCTTATATATTTGAAATCCCTGTCATCCTTGTATATTTTCACCAGAAATGCAAGTTGAAAGAAGACCCTTTGACGTTTGGTGCTCTTTGCATCTTGAAACATCTGCTTCCGAGGTGTATTTTTTATCCTTTATCAGTATAACTTATCAATTTAGAGTTAATTTGCCATCCCAACTTAATGATGTTGCATTGTGTTCGGAGGTTGTTTGAAGCATGGCACTCAAAACGGCCTCTTTTGGTTGATACTGCAAGGTCTTTGTTAGATGAGCAAAGTTTAGCTGTTCGAAAAGCCCTTTCAGAGGTACTGAGCTGGCATAGATTTTCGTATTTACTACTAAAATATGCATGCTCTAGCATTGTGCTTCTGCTTTGATGACAGTTGATCGTGGTCATGGCTTCACACTGCTATCTGGCCGGTCCATCTGGGGAATTATTTGTTGAATACCTTGTACGCCATTCTGCAATAGGAGAGAGTGACGATCTGAAGGTAAGACCATATAACATAACACTTGGTATTGAGTTTGGACTGCATTCTTTGTTGTTATTTATCTGAAAGTAATGATATATGAGGGTGAGGCAGCTGATATATAGGTGACCCCACGTCCTGCCGAGTGTTTCAAATGCAGTGAAGAATTAGTATACTTGTTGCCATTAACCATGCACTTTTTTTCTGGTGCTTAGATATTTCATCCACCCTGCTAAATTAGCGACTTGTTGGCTCCATCTAAGAAAGTAATTGAGAAAAGTGTTGGCGTTGACTCTTGGGTGTTGCTGTTAGTAATAATCTAACATCACCAGAACCCTGGAACAAGATAGCAATCTTGTTCCAGGTTGTGTTATTGAGTCTTCTTATTTACTTGCTCCAAGTTGTGGAGTCTTCTTACCACTGTATATAAGGAGCACATATGCTAGTGTTGTTATGAGTATATAAATCTGTTACTTCTTTTTCTAGAATTTGACGTGTGCTACTAATATTTCTCTTAGGCAAAAGGGGAATCAGTTAGTCCAACACAGCTAAGAGCAGTTTGTGGAAAAGGTCTTCTGCTCTTGACTGTTACAATTCCGGAGATGGAGGTGCGACAAATTTGTCTTTTATAATAGAACTATCTCATTGCTTATAGCTTTCAGGTTTTAATGCTAAAGAGTGTATATGAAATTGCAGTACATTCTTTGGCCTTTCCTACTGAAAGTGATTGTCCCTAAGGTCTACACTGGCGCTGTTGCATCAGTAAGATCTTTCTTTTGTTGCCTGGATTGTTTTCTTTCAGAGATTTGACCTCAGTTAACATTATTATTGATATAATTTGATAGGTCTGTAGATGCATATCTGAACTTTGTCGTCGTAGGTCTTCAACCACCCCCATGTTGATCGAGTGTAAAGCTCGTGCTGACATTCCTAGCCCTGAGGTAAAATTGTTCTTAAGCCCTTTCATATGATCTATAAGATTTATCGTGTATGGCAAGATCTCAAAATTGAAAATACGTATGCACATGTATTATAATCGCAGGAGTTGTTTACCCGTTTGGTGGTTCTTTTGCACAATCCTCTGGCAAAAGAGCAGTTAGCATCCCAAATTTTGACGGTAAGTTTGTGTCAGTAACTTCAGAAACTGTGTTATAGACTCACATTTTACATCCCATAATTCCATAAAATACTTTCTTTATTCATCAAGTAAATGCTTGATCATTTTAGGGCCTGCTATTGTTCATAGCTTATATGTGCATCTTTTTATTTACCACTCTGTTGTTACTTCCTTCAGGTCCTTGGCTATCTATCCCCTCTTTTCCCAAAAAACATCAGCATGTTTTGGCAAGATGAGGTACACTGCTGTTTGCTCAAGATATCTCTAGTTTATTGTATTTTTGGTTTCCAGTCAAGATAACTAAGAGCAAAGTATGGTCAGATTGCACCGTAAATTTCTAGTATCTTTTTATTTTTCGCATCATATTTCATGTAGATAGATATATGACTTAAATTATGACGGCTATTAAGAGCTACTGCATATTGTTGCCTTTTCTTAGTTTCTCATATTAATGTGACTTGTTACACGTGACCCTAATTATTTTTCACATTTGGTAAGCTCTAGATTCCAAAAATGAAGGCGTATGTCTTTGACACAGAAGATCTGAAGCTTGATCCAACTTACCAGGAAACTTGGGATGACATGATAATCAATGTAAGCTTATTCAAGTTGTGTGAAGGGAAATAAAAAACATCTTTCTGAGCAGAAATTTCTTTAAAACGTGCAATTAAATATATTGATTTGACTAATCAAGTTTGTTCTATATATTACTTCTAATCATTGTTCTATTATACAGTTTCTAGCAGAATCACTGGATGTCACCCAGGATGCTGACTGGGTTATATCTCTTGGAAATGCTTTTGCAAAACAATATATTCTGTACACTCCGGATGATGACCATGCAGCACTTCTACACCGGTAAAATTCTTGATTTTTCATTTTGTTCTGGTCTTTGATGAAGATTAAGTATCTCTACGTTTTGTTGGTGCACTATTTTGATGTCAGTTGTTGAGAAATAAAGTTGGCTTGGATTGTTGATTTCTTTTCACATCAAATCAGCATGTGGGTCGCATTGTCAATCTTCAAAATTTTTAAAATGTATTTCTTGATTGACATAACTTTCTGGATTTTCTTATCTGGTGATTTTCTGATTCTTTCACCATATTATCAAAGTTTATAAAAGGAGAGACATTCCGATACCTGGATTGATTGTGTACATACATATTCTTTGTATACTTCACTCTGGGGCTGAACAAGCTTGTTTTCCTTGTGATTTTAGTTCTTATTTTTCAGATTCCGATAGATGGCTGATAAGTTTTAAACTCTCTGAAAGCTGTATTGATTTTGATAATTTAGCGAAGAACTGTGTCATAAACCTCTTGTGCTTTGATTTCAGGTGTATCGGAATACTTCTCCAGAAAGTTAATGATAGAGCATATGTTCGTGAAAAGATTGACTGGATGTACGAACAGGCAGACATTTCTATACCTGCAAATAGACTTGGTTTAGCGAAGGCCATGGGGCTGGTATTTTGAGAGTACTTGCCTTTTTCTCTCTCAGATGTTGATTTTCAGCCTTAATTTAATATGCTAATTGATGATTGCGTAGGTCGCGGCTTCTCACTTGGACACTGTACTGGAAAAGCTGAAAATCATTGTGGATAATGTTGGGCAGAGTATTTTCCAAAGGTTTATCTGACTTGACTTAATGAAATCATCACCGCATATACTTTCTAATGTTAAAAATCTAGACATGCCTGCATATCTATCTATCACTCATTGTTGAATCTATTAGTTTATTTCTCTCTTTTAATTAATCTATATCATCATATAACTTTCAGTAGTGGAAGGCTGTATCTTAAAGGTTTTTAAATTCTAGCTTATCCCAAGTCTTCTTTATGTGTATATTAAGTTGGACCTTTAAAGCTGCAGTTGCACACACAGAAAATGTTATGTCAAAAGGTTTCCTGATATTAGAAAATTAGCTTTTCATTAGTCGTATAGTTGCTTATAGGCATTCTAGAATTGGTCACTTTTGCAACAAGTTTGTAAAATTTATGACAAAACTGACGTAATGTTCTTGTGTTTATTCTAGGATCTTATCTCTCTTCTCTGAGAGCTATAAAACAGAAGACAGTGATGATATACATGCTGCTTTGGCTTTGATGTATGGATATGCTGCAAAATATGCACCCTCATCAGTTATTGAGGCCAGAATAGATGCACTTGTCGTATGTTTTTAATTCTTCAAATAAATCTCATTTCTATTTAGATTATAATCTTCCATCCTGCTTCTTTTACTATTATCTGTTATAAACCTATGCGTCAGATTGACTTTGAATCTTGCTAGGAAAACCCATCTAATGAATTTAAATTATCATGAAGAGATGGAAATCCGAGTAGTTTTCTGTGAACAGACAGTGATTTATGTTGAACTGTTGTGACCTTGTTATTTATTTCTGCACCTCTTTCATTTTCAAATTTCAATAATATAATCAGATTTCGTTTGCATGTACCACAGGGCACGAATATGCTTTCACGGCTTCTTCATGTGCGGCAGCAAACAGCAAAACAAGCTGTTATAACTGCTATTGATTTATTAGGTTAGTACCACATTGAAATATAGATGATGGAGTCATTCTTCTGATGACCGATTTGTTGCTGTCCTCTCTTTGATTTTTTCTATCAAGTTACACCGCCCTACATGGTAGGGGTATAATGTTAGGGGAATCTGGAGAGTATATAGGACCCTGATCTTTTGTGTCTTTGTGTGAAGGTCGTGCTGTCATTAATGCTGCAGAAAGTGGTGCTACATTCCCATTGAAAAGAAGAGATCAGATGCTTGATTATATATTGACTTTGATGGGCCGAGATGAAAATGAAGGTTTTGCAGAATCTAGTCTCGAAGTTCTACACACTCAGGTAGTCAAATTTATGTCAAGAATCTGTACCATGTGACATTTCTTTCAAACAAGCAGATACCATTTCTCTTTCTAATAAATTTTGTGCAGGCACTCGCTCTGAATGCATGCACAACACTGGTCTCTGTGGAACCAAAGCTGACCGTTGAAACTCGAAATCGTGTTATGAAGGTGATTAGTTTCTCGTTTGAACCAAGTCTAAAAAGAAAAGAATGAGATTAGTGCTGTTTGTTTTGTCTTCACACTTGGTTTCTTGGACAGGCTACACTGGGATTCTTTGCTTTGCCTAATGATCCATCAGATGTCATCAGTCCCCTTATAGACAATCTTGTGACTCTCTTGTGTGCCATCCTCCTTACAAGGTATTTACTTGACAAGTTTTAAATTCGCCAAGCTGTTATGAGGCTGCAGATTCTCTGAATTTTTAGACAAGTTTCTTGATCTGTTTATTATTTCCATTGATGAAATACTTTCTGTAAAACTGAAGTCTTCAATGGAAGTTCTTAAAATAAAATTTTCCATGTTCTAGGTTTATTCTTTCAGTTTTTACTTATTTATTTAAAGTACTTTATTAGAGACTTAATTTCTAGTTGCTTCTCTTTTATAAATTCATTTGATCTGTTTTTTTATCTTGCATAACTTACATGTTACTTATGTTAGATTAGATTCAGTGATTATGGTAGTGGATTTGTAGTCTCAAGTCTCAAATATTGAGTCCTACTACAAGTGTGTGTACAAATTTGAAGTGTTTTTTACCGCTTATTCAATGATATGTGTGCATGAACTAGTGGAGAGGATGGAAGAAGTCGAGCGGAGCAGCTTTTGCATCTGCTTAGACAGCTTGATCAATATGTTTCGTCACCCATTGATTATCAAAGAAAAAGAGGTTGTGTGGCAGTTCATGAGATGCTCCTAAAGTTTCGTAAGCTTTGTGTTGGTGGCTATTGTGCTCTTGGTTGTTCTGGGGATTGCCCACATAGAAAGTTTGCAGACCGCAGTATGCAGGGGAATTTTTCAAATCTACCATGTATGACGATATCCTTAAACAATTTGTTTGATTTTTATTCCATATATGTACGAGCTAATTAATTTCCTTTGTTTGACCAACAGCGGTATTTTTATTTCCTGACCGCGAGGTATTGTGTTTGGGAGATAGGGTCATAACCTATCTCCCACGCTGTGCTGACACAAATTCTGAAGTACGAAAAATTTCTGCACAGGTATTTGATTTGTACTTATCCTGATCAACTGTGTCACAAAACGATCGGTCAGCATTTATTCTTAGGGTGACATTGAGAGTCTAATGGTTTCTCCTACTATTATTTTTGTTAGATTCTTGACCAGTTCTTCAGCATTTCCCTTTCCCTTCCAAAAGCTGTACTCACAAGCGGGTTGGATTCTGAAGACTCCTATAAAGCCCTGTCTTCCCTTGAGGATGTCATTGCCATTTTGAAAAGTGTAAGCATTTTTGTGGTTAGGCTCAGAGTTATGTCCTTTTCTTTTGTATGCTTCATGTTCAGGGCGTAAGATTTCTTTGAACCCACTTTCAGGATGCCTCAATTGATCCATCCGAAGTTTTTAACAGAATAGTCTCATCCATTTGTTCTCTCTTAACGGGGGATGAGGTTTGTTTTTCTCCTTCTTTTATATAAATTCTGGTGTCATTGGATAGTTGAGGTCCCATTATGTTGTGCTATGTCATGTAGCTTGTAGCAGCCTTGCAAAGTTGCACTGCAGCTATCTGTGACAAAATCAGGCAATCTGCTGAGGGAGCCATTCAAGCGGTTACTGAATTTGTTTCAAGAAGAGGGAGTCAGCTTAGTGACAATGATATATCAAGGTACATCAAGGCTTGTTTTCATAGACGGGCTCTAGTCCTTTTTACATTGTTATCTGATAACCTTGTTCCCCTTTCTTCTTTTGGTTTTCTTCTGGCAGGACAACTCAGTCCTTACTCTCGGCAGCAGTTCATATAACTGATAAGAATTTACGTGTTGAAGCTATTGGAGCTGTATCCTTAACTTAATTCTGTTAGCAAATTCGATTTGCCTGTAAATGTGATACTGCTATAAGATAAACCTCACTAGCATTTATCTTGTATGCTCTTGTTGTATTACTACTGCTTACCTTAATCACATGAAGATCTCTGTACTGGCAGAGAACACACAATCATCAATTGTGTTTAATGAAGTGTTGGCTACTGCTGGAAAAGACATCGTGACAAAGGACATAACTCGGATGCGCGGTGGCTGGCCAATGCAAGATGCATTTTATGTAAGTACCATTCTCTCTGGAACTATGTTATAATATGAGATTTTTCTCATACATGATACTATTTTATATTCTATTCTTTTATGATTATATCATCTTCTAAAAAAGTCTTAACGAAATTTTGGGAATAGTTGTCTGACTTGTAGTTTGACGAGGCCCCTCATTGCCAATTATGTTTTGATGCAGGCTTTCTCTCAACATACGGAGCTTTCAGTTTTGTTCATGGAACACTTAATATCCATTCTCAATCGTAGTTCTTTAGTTAAAGGTGATTCACATAAGGGAGAGAATACTAGCTCTTCTTATGAATCACATGTAGAAGATGAAATTCTTCAAGCTGCCATTTTTGCTCTCACTGCTTTTTTTCGGTACGTTTCATAAACCATCAATTTTACTTGAGAGTACATGACGCATTTTGGATGGCTAATATACTCAATTAACCAGAGGTGGTGGAAAAATTGGAAAGAAAGCTGTTGAGAAAAGCTACTCTTCTGTCGTTGGGGCACTTACTCTTCTATTGGGAAGCTGTCATGGACTTGCAAGTTCTGGTCAGCAAGATCCATTACGGTAACTCCTCTACTTTCGAGAGAACTGTAGGCAGATAACGATTGGTACTCTTATTTTAGTAAAGCCTTAGTAATATTTTTCCCTCTTGGCAGAGTACTTCTAACTTCATTTCAAGCTTTCTGTGAGTGTGTTGGTGATCTGGAGATGGGAAAGGTACCTTACTTTAACATTAAATTGGTTCTGTTTTGTTTCTAGTATGATAAACTGATACTCTTATCTTTACTTAGATTTTGGCTCGTAATGGGGAGCAAAGAGAAAAAGAAAAATGGGTTGATCTTATTGGCGATATTGCTAGATGCATTTCAATTAAGAGACCGAAGGAGGTACCTAAGTAATGCAGTTGTGTTTCTCAGGGTCTTTGTAGCCTATAACTGTTGTGTCTCACCGATTGATCATTGGTTCATTAGTTGAGTAGTCAAATCAATGGTGGCAACATGGATTTTCTCATGACCATTCTTGTTGGGAAGTCATGATATATGTGCATAGTAGTTTAGTACACATGAGGGATTCTTTCTGTCTGAAAAAGAAATGAGATTAGGGAAGCCGGACCTATTCTTAAGACAGCCTAACTGACTTGTTTGCTTACGCATCTGTACTTTTTGTTTCTGAAACCTTTTCAAGACAGTAATTTAGAAAAAGAAAATCAGTGATGAAGAAAAAGGAGTTTACAATTTCCCTTCAGACTGAAGTAGCACTTAAGTTTTAGTACTGGTGTTACAGGTTCGACATATTTGCATGATTCTAACAAAAGCACTAAACCGTCCACAAAGATTTCAGCGGGAGGCTGCTGCTGCTGCATTGTCAGAGTTTATACGCTACAGGTATAATGTTTTGATGTCGTTAATTTTTTTTTTTTTTTTTCATTTTGATTTTATTTCCTACAGGTGTAGTTTTCTGTAATTTTGCTCGGCTTAGTGACACATTGATTTAGATGCGTGTACCCAATCAGCTAGTAAGCTCTGTTTGGAAAAAAAGTTTAATTCGAAGTCATGTGTATATAAAAGTGAAGGAAAGAAAGTCAAAGGACTGAAGCATCGTTCCTGACATGTGTCATGAACAAAGCACTTCCTTGGTACCTTATTTTCTTTAATTTCCTCTACTAATATTTCTGAGTTGCAGTGGTGAATTTAGTTCTGTAATGGAGGAGATGGTCGAAGCACTCTGCCGACATGTGTCAGATGATTCTCCGACTGTAAGGCGCCTTTGTCTAAGAGGATTAGTGCAAGTAAGAGTAATTCTGAGCAGTTTTTATTTACTTATCTTGATTGTCTAAGAGTATTAGTGCAAGAAAGAGTTATACGGATCAGCTTTATTCCTTGTCATGATATTCTTTCTAGTCGGTTTACCATAAAGTATATGCTCCTGTTGGATTATGACAACGATGTTAGATCAACAATTAATTTCTAAAGAACCCTAAATCACTCATTATGGAGATGTGTTATCTTCCACTAAGTAAAACAACTTTATACACATATTTATAGCATATTGATGCTACGAGAGTTACCTGTGACATATATTAGAGGATAGCTAACCAGTTTTTGGACTAAGGTGGTTTGCGAAATTTAAATTGGTTTCTGCTGCTTGTCTTTTCCCCCAAATTTATTATTCCTGATTCATCACTTAGCTGCTTCCTGGTTTTGCCAGATGCCATCTGATTGTATGAACCACTACACAACTCAAGTTATTGGTGTAATATTAGCGTTGCTTGATGATCTGGAGGAGTCTGTGCAACTAACTGCTGTGTCATGCTTGTTGATGGTAATGTTCAAACCCATTAACAACTCAATATTTCTGAATTCTGACTGTCAGATCTATTAGCAATTTGATTGAACTCTATATGCGTGTTTTCTTTTGTCAGGTCACAGAGTCAGCTTCTAATGATGCTGTTGAACCTATCTTGCTGAATTTATCTGTTCGGCTTCGTAACCTTCAGGTAAGGTCTAGCGTTAAGATATCTGAGAGGTTTTAACTGAAATTAATATAAAGTAAAGCTTTTAGGCCACACTCAAGCTTGAACAGAAGAAAAATTGTAAAAACCAGTTCACTATACTGTCAGATACATTTTTTCTGTTTGAGTGCGTTGCCACTAATTTTACTTGAAATTCCAATTTGTAACAGGTTAGTATGGACCCGAAGATGAGAGCCAATGCATTTGCAGCACTTGGAGCTTTAAGTAAATATGCTATTGGAGGGCAAAGGGAGGGATTTGTCGAGCAGGTGACACATACTCTTTTCATTTCCTTTAAAATAATATGGATGTCGAGGAAAGAAGATCTTTCAGATTTAATCTAAAGCTTATTAGATTAAAATGTCTAATATCAGATTCATTCCACCCTTCCACGCTTGGTAGTGCACCTCCATGACGATGATCCTAGCATAAGACAGGCTTGTCGGGTAATTTCTTCATAGCCGATTGCTCCTTTGTTTGGTTTGAGGTAACTTTTTGTTTACATATCTGTTATTTTTTGAATAGGGAACCCTCAAGCGGTTTGCTCCACTCGTGGACATAATAAACTATTCTACCCTCTATGATTCACGTTCTTTTGCTTCTGATGATAGGTATGTCTCACCGTCTTATGAGTACCAAATCTATTCTGTGAGTGTGAACTGAGTATGAAAACTTCGTAAGGGATCTTCTAAAATTGTTTATATTTTCAGGACTGACTATGAAAACTTCGTAAGGGATCTCTCAAAGCACTTGGTCCAAGAGTCGGAAAGAGTTGATACTTACATGGCCTCAACCATCCAGGTTCGACTCTCCTCGAATAATCATCATAGTTGCTAAATTCATAAACTATATATACAAAAAAAAAACTGAAGTGATTACTATCCGGTGCAGGCTTTTGATGCACCGTGGCCAGTTATTCAGGCGAATGCAATACACTTCTCCACCACCATGTTGTCACTCTCAGAGGATCAGCACATAATCTCTCTCTACTACCCACAGGTATATTAGAGAAACTACATATAACATGCACATAAGTCTTTATTAGTTCTCAAGCCTGTCTTTTGTTCAGGTGTTTGAAACGCTGGTTAGCAAGATGACCAGGTCACAAGATTCAGTTGTGAGAGCAGCATGCTCATCAGCCTTCGGGTTACTGCTAAGATCAAGCAAGTCAACACTCTGGAGAGGAGCTCGACTTGATCGGACCGACTCAGGTAGAAAATCCAATGATCCTGAGTCTGTTAAGAAATAACACGTGCATTGCAGTCCTTGTGAATACCAACCCGTTACTGACGAAAAATCTGGGGGTTGCGATATATATCTATATCCTTATGTACAGTGTGCAATGAGAAACAATCCAGATTTGTGTGTTTGTTGTAAAGTCTATTATGTTTTCATCTTGTAAAGGATATTGTCACTTGTGTGTCGTCTCTATTACCGAACTCAGGAAAGAAACATTCACACGAAAGTGTTGTAGGCTCTGGTCCTCTTTGTTGATTGTGATTTTTGAGGCTTCTGCTAGATATAATTGATTAATTGTCTTGACAGAGTCCAACGTTGGAATTATCTTCATGTACTGTTTTATATGAGAGTTTAATCGGTCTTTGAAGTTTCAAACACGAATTCGATTTTGGCAACATTAGTAATTTCTGTGCCCCTTATTTGTTTATTATTGATTCTTGAGACTTGCGGATAGATGTAGCTATCAGCGAGCTCCAAGTTGTTGTTTTTGTGTATGTGAATTATCTTCTTTTTTGTTATGAAGATATGTCTCTAAACTTTTCGTGAGAAGGAAGGTCACTAGAAGATGTACACGGTCACAAACGGACAAACTAAATGTCCTGTAGCAAGCACAATCTGTGGACTTAATAAGAGGTGTTTGGCAAGTAAAAATCTGTTTACGTCATCTATTACGTCTTCTGTTCACTTTATGTTTTGCTCTCCACGCTTCTTATCCTTTATAAGCTCGCACAAATCTAAACCAAAACCAAAACAAAACTTGAGAGTTTCTTACTACGGTTGAATCATGGTTTCTGAAACAACCAACGAATCTTATCCACTTCACTTTGTTCTTTTCCCTTTCATGGCTCAAGGCCACATGATTCCCATGGTTGATATTGCAAGGCTCTTGGCTCAGCGCGGTGTGACCATAACAATTGTCACGACGCCTCACAATGCAGCGAGGTTCAAGAATGTCCTAAACCGAGCCATTGAGTCTGGCTTGCCCATCAACCTAGTGCAAGTCAAGTTTCCATATCAAGAAGCTGGTTTGCAAGAAGGACAAGAGAATATCGATTCTCTTGAGACAATGGAGCGGATGATATCTTTCTTTAAAGCGGTTAACTTGCTCGAAGAACCAGTCCAGAAGCTCATTGAAGAGATGAACCCTCGACCAAACTGTCTAATTTCTGATTTCTGTTTGCCTTATACAAGCAAAATCTCCAAGAAGTTCAATATCCCAAAGATCCTCTTCCATGGCATGGGTTGCTTTTGTCTTCTGTGTATGCATGTTTTACGCAAGAACCGTGAGATCTTGGACAATTTAAAGTCTGATAAGGAGTATTTCACTGTTCCTTATTTTCCTGACAGAGTTGAATTCACAAGACCTCAAGTTCCGGTAGAAACATATGTTCCAGCTGGAGACTGGAAAGAGATCTTCGATGGTATGGTAGAAGCGAATGAGACATCTTATGGTGTGATAGTCAACTCATTTCAAGAGCTCGAGCCTGCTTATGCCAAAGACTACAAGGAGGTAAGGTCCGGTAAAGCATGGACCATTGGACCAGTTTCCTTGTGCAACAAGGTAGGAGCAGACAAAGCAGAGAGGGGAAACAAATCAGACATTGATCAAGATGAGTGCCTTAAATGGCTCGATTCTAAGGAACCGGGCTCTGTGCTCTATGCTTGCCTTGGAAGTATCTGCAATCTTCCTCTGTCTCAGCTCAAGGAGCTGGGGCTAGGCCTCGAGGAATCTCAAAGACCTTTCATCTGGGTCATAAGAGGTTGGGAGAAGTACAAAGAGTTAGTTGAGTGGTTCTTGGAAAGCGGATTTGAAGATAGAATCAAAGACAGAGGACTTCTCATCAAAGGATGGTCTCCTCAAATGCTTATCCTTTCACATCCTTCTGTTGGAGGGTTCTTAACGCATTGCGGATGGAACTCGACTCTTGAGGGGATAACCGCTGGTCTACCGCTTCTTACATGGCCGCTATTTGCAGACCAATTCTGCAACGAGAAACTGGTCGTTCAGGTACTAAAAGCCGGTGTAAGATCCGGGGTTGAGCAGCCTATGAAATGGGGAGAAGAGGAGAAAATAGGAGTGTTGGTGGATAAAGAAGGAGTGAAGAACGCAGTGGAAGAATTAATGGGTGAGACTGATGATGCAAAAGAGAGAAGAAGAAGAGCCAAAGAGCTTGGTGAATTAGCTCACAAGGCTGTGGAAGAAGGAGGCTCTTCTCATTCTAATATCTCATTCTTGCTACAAGACATAACGCAACTAGCGCAATCCAAGAATTGAGTATACGTCACCTTTTCAAAGGAATTTAAACATTATAAATAGTTTTTGTTTCTTTATTTTGTGAAATTTAAATCGAAACCTTAGTTACACATTTGTAAGAATCAGCAGAAGACAACTTAGTGACGACTTTCACATTCTGGAGTCATCTCTACTTTGAAAAAGTTGGTTTAATATTGTTCGTTTAGACTTATCTAAAATTAAGGCTGCGCCAAATTTTCCTAAACCAAGAACAATTGACATTACCTTTTCTGTCCCATTAATGATTAAATATCCATCTTTTGAAAAAGTTATATTTTCTGTTCAAGGCCGATTAATCCTTAAAATTTGAACATGATTTGTTTATAAAGTGTAACTAAATCTAGATGTTAACTTGCATGCATAATAATTCAAATTTAACATAACCCAAAAATACTTAAAAGATTTGTCTGAAACCTAGAAAATTTAGATCTAACGATTATGATTTTCACAAAATGAACAAATTCGAATTTATACAAAAAAAAAAATATAAGAAGAAGCTTACTTCAATCATACCAAAAAAAAGAAGCTTACTCGAAAAATTTATACGTTATTTGACTCTTTCCCAAATTATATTACGACATGTGCATGTGACCCATAAAAATTTGTTAACGTCTAGTAGATAAAGTTGTGTTGGAAAGTCAAGTCCGATTTGGCGGCAGTGGATTTATCATCTTTTAGTGTCATTTACAAGAACTGAATTGAACTTTGAAATGTCAAACAGAATTCGATTTTGGTAATGAGTGAGACTCAGAGAGTCTTCTTTTGTTAGTCTTTTGAGACTTGTATAGCCACGTCTAACTAACTTAGAGTCCAAATTTGATTTCGTGTCTTGCAGATCAAGTATCTTATCTTTGTAAGCTTTTCCACTAAAGAAAAGATCTCACTAGAAGACGCATAAGGTCACAAAAGGACGAGAGAAGAAAGTTTTGGCCACAAAATATCCATCCTCTTGTAATAAAAGCTCTAGTAGCAAATTTGTCAATTACTTTATGTGGCTTACGTCATCTACTACATCATGTTAGTGAAGCCTTTTTTTTTATATATCCCCACTATTCTTATCTATCTTATATAACCACACACGATCACACACATATATATAATCCAAAGAAAAACACATCACTTGAGTATTCATTATTGAGTTGGAACCATTATGGCTTCCGAAGAAACCCACCAGTTTCATCCTTCTCTTCACTTTGTTCTCTTCCCTTTCATGGCTCAAGGCCACATGATTCCCATGATTGATATTTCAAGGCTTTTGGCTCAGCGCGGTGTGACCATAACAATTGTCACGACGCCTCACAACGCAGCAAGGTTTAAGAATGTCTTAAGCCGAGCGATCGAGTCTGGCTTGCCCATCAACATAGTGCATGTGAAGTTTCCATATCAAGAAGCTGGTTTGCAAGAAGGACAAGAGAATATAGATTCGTTAGACTCAAAGGAGTTGATGGTACCTTTTTTTAAAGCGGTGAACATGCTTGAAGAGCCGGTCACGAAGCTCATGGAAGAGATGAAACCTAAACCTAGCTGTCTAATTTCTGATTGGTGTTTGCCTTATACAAGCATAATCGCCAAGAAATTCAATATACCAAAGATGGTTTTCCACGGCATGGGTTGTTTTTGTCTTTTGTGTATGCATGTTCTACGCCAAAACCTAGAGATCCTAGAGAATGTAAAGTCAGATAAAGAGTATTTACTGGTTCCTTGTTTTCCTGATAAAGTTGAATTTACAAAGCCTCAACTTCCTGTGAAAGCAAATGCAAGTGGAGATTGGAAAGAGATCATGGACGATATGGTAAAAGCAGAATACACATCATATGGTGTGGTAGTCAACACATTTGAAGAGTTGGAGCCTGCTTATGTCAAAGACTACAAAGAGGCAAGGGCTGGAAAAGTATGGTCCATTGGACCAGTTTCCTTGTGCAACAAGGTAGGAGCAGACAAAGCAGAGAGGGGTAACAAAGCGGCTATTGATCAAGATGAGTGTCTTGAATGGCTTGATTCTAAAGAAGAAGGTTCGGTGCTCTATGCTTGCCTTGGAAGTATCTGCAATCTTCCTTTGGCTCAGCTCAAGGAGTTGGGGCTAGGCCTTGAGGAATCCCGAAGACCTTTCATTTGGGTCATAAGAGGTTGGGAAAAGTATAATGAACTATCTGAGTGGATGTTGGAGAGCGGTTTTGAAGAAAGAATCAAAGAGAGAGGACTTCTCATTAGAGGGTGGGCACCACAAGTCCTTATCCTTTCACATCCTTCCGTTGGAGGATTCTTGACACACTGTGGATGGAATTCGACTCTCGAAGGAATCACCTCGGGCATTCCACTTCTCACATGGCCGCTGTTTGCAGACCAATTCTGTAACGAGAAACTAGTTGTGCAGGTACTAAAAGCCGGTGTAAGAGCCGGAGTTGAGCAGCCTATGCAATCGGGAGAAGAGGAGAAAATAGGAGTGTTAGTGGATAAAGAAGGAGTGAAGAAAGCAGTGGAAGAATTAATGGGTAATAGTGATGATGCAAAAGAGAGGAGAAGAAGAGCCAAAGAGCTAGGAGAATTAGCTCACAAGGCTGTGGAGGAAGGAGGCTCTTCTCATTCTAACATCACATTCTTGTTACAAGACATAATGCAACTAGCACAATTCAAGAATTGACCAACGTCGTTTTTCTTTTACAGAAATTTAAACATTAAACAGTTTTTGATTTTTATATCTGAGAAATTTAAGTCGGAGCCTTAGTTAAACACGTGGATGAATGAATCAGCAGAAGATAGCTTTTTCTTTTTTAAAGTCATCAATTATCTTCCAAAACGCGCGTTGGCTTAAAATTCGTTTAGATAATATCTAAATATGGCATATGGGGCTGTGCCTAATTAGTAATTATCATAAACCAAGAACACAGTTTATTGTGGATTGACTTAATCTCATTTATGTGCCTTCTCATTTGTCATATGTATTGACCTAATTATAATGGCTATATCATGTTATATTGATGTTTTTATTTATTTATCAAAGGTGTTATATTGATACAACATGTATGAGTACGACCCATAAATATTCTAGTTTATAGTATATATATTATTATTTTTGGTATGAAATTTAGTAGATATAGTTGTCTTGAAAGACTCAAGTGTCCGATTTGGCGGCTACGGATTTGAAATGAATTGAACTTATGTATAAGAATTGAATTGAGGTTTAAAAGGTCAAATAGAAATCGATTTTAGTGAGTTTTTTTTTATAACACAATTTCGATTTTGATAATGTCTAAGAGAGTCCATATTTTGTTAGTTTTCTAGACTTTTATAACATATGTAGCTAACTCCAAGATTGATTTTGTATCTTATACTTATTCTGAAATGTCTTGGTAAGCTTTTTCAGTAAAGAAAGGACATAAGAAATGGCAGAATGGTCACAAAAGGACAACAGAAGAAAGTATTGGCCATGAGTTGTCCTCTCGTAATAACCTCTGCCGTTTATGTACAACAACTATATTGTTACGTAATCTATTTCTTCATTCGACGAAGCCTTTTTCGACCACCACTCTTCTTATCCATCTTATATATATAAACTCACGGAGTCACGGTCACACTAACACACAATCCAAGAAAACCACAAAACTTGAGAGTTCCTCATTGAGTTAGAACCGGTATGGCTTCCGAAAATTCCCACCAAGTTCATCCTCCTCTTCACTTTATTCTTTTCCCTTTCATGGCTCAGGGCCACATGATTCCCATGGTTGATATTGCAAGGCTCTTGGCTCAGCGCGGTGCAACAGTAACTATTGTCACGACGCGTTATAACGCAGGGAGGTTCGAGAATGTCTTAAGCCGTGCCATGGAGTCTGGTTTACCCATCAACATCGTGCATGTGAAGTTTCCATATCAAGAATTTGGTTTGCCAGAAGGAAAAGAGAATATAGATTCGTTTGACTCGATGGAGTTGATGGTACCTTTCTTTAAAGCGGTTAACGTGCTCGAAGATCCGGTCATGAAGCTCATGGAAGAGATGAAACCTAGACCTAGCTGTCTAATTTCTGATTTGTTGTTGCCTTATACAAGCAAAATCGCCAAGACGTTCAATATACCAAAGATTGTTTTCCACGGCATGGGTTGCTTTTGTCTTTTGTGTATGCATGTTTTACGCCGAAACCTTGAGATCTTGAAGAACTTAAAGTCGGATAAAGAGTATTTCCTGGTTCCTAATTTTCCTGATAGAGTTGAATTTACAAAGCCTCAAGTTCCAGTGGAAACAAATGCAAGTGGAGATTGGAAAGAGTTCTTGGACGAAATGGTAGAAGCAGAAAACACATCCTATGGTGTGATCATCAACACATTTCAGGATTTGGAGTCTGCGTATGTCAAAGACTACACGGAGGCTAGGGCTGGAAAAGTTTGGTCAATTGGACCTGTTTCCTTGTGCAACAAGGCAGGAGTAGACAAAGCAGAGAGAGGAAACAAAGCGGCCATTGATCAAGATGAGTGTCTTCAATGGCTTGATTCTAAAGAAGAAGGTTCGGTGATCTATGTTTGCCTAGGAAGTATCTGCAATCTTCCTTTGGCTCAGCTCAAGGAGCTGGGGCTAGGCCTTGAGGAATCCCGAAGACCTTTTATTTGGGTCATAAGAGGTTGGGAAAAGTATAATGAACTATCTGAGTGGATGTTGGAGAGCGGTTTTGAAGAAAGAATCAAAGAGAGAGGACTTCTCATTAGAGGGTGGGCACCACAAGTCCTTATCCTTTCACATCCTTCCGTTGGAGGATTCTTGACACACTGTGGATGGAATTCGACTCTCGAAGGAATCACCTCGGGCATTCCACTGCTCACTTGGCCTCTGTTTGGAGACCAATTCTGCAACCAAAAACTGGTCGTGCAAGTACTAAAAGCTGGTGTAAGTGCTGGGGTTGAAGAAGTCATGAAATGGGGAGAAGAGGAGAAAATAGGAGTATTAGTGGATAAAGAAGGAGTGAAGAAGGCAGTGGAAGAATTAATGGGTGAGAGTGATGATGCAAAAGAGAGAAGAAGAAGAGCCAAAGAGCTTGGAGCATTAGCTCACAAGGCTGTGGAAGAAGGAGGCTCTTCTCATTCTAACATCACGTTCTTGCTACAAGACATAGTGCAACAAGTGCAATCCAAGAATTGATTGTATATCTCGTTAATGTTCTTAGTTCAATCATTGTTCGTTCATGTAATATCTTTTAAAGTGGGTCAATAAATTACACATTTCATCCCAAAAAAATAAAAATCTTATTATTTGTTGGGTAATCGAATTCGTCTTGTTTTTCCTATTAAAATTATGTAAAGTTTTTAGATATACATTTTTAAAAAACTTCAACTTATATACATTGAAATAGTAGAAAGTGCCAATGTCTAATATTTTCATAGTATAGACAACTGCTCTGGTAGTCCGGAGGAGTTCAACACGTCAACTTTGATATTTCTTCTAGCGGTGACTTAAGAGTTTAGGTTTATCAATAAAAAACAATTCTCAGAAATCGGCAGTTTCCCTAATAATTTTTTTAATGTATATTCTTTTATCGTTTCTCATATTTAATATTTTCAAAAATTAAATTTATATTTGTCCTGAATTTTTGACACTCAAAATATTTGACATATGGACATTTTATTTGAAATGAAATTTTCATAATCATTTTATTTTGCAAAGAAAAAGAGAAAAATATATGGTTTTTTTTTAAACTCAATCTAATATCCTATCAAAATCAATCATCAAATATGGAGTAAAAAAAACAAATACTAGAATACACACTTTGATTTATTTTGAAGACAAATGTTTGAGGTTTATGGCCCTCTTTAATGATTTGAGGCTTGTTGTCCATATGACATAAAAAGAATGAGAGACTGAAAGATTCCGAATTTGATTTTTCTTTCTTTATTCGTTTATCTAATACTAATTTTTGCGGCTGTGAACTCTTCACCATATTTTCGACGTACTTCTAAAAGATATTTTCTCTTAATTTTTTGGGCTTATATGAATACAAATGAACACATGAGTTATGAGTACCCTCCACGATATGTACTGTGAACCACTTTAGTGTTTTGTAACCGTTACGAACAAGCCAATATGCTTTTGTTCTTTCTTTCATTTTCATTGAGTCCATGAATATAAATATATGTATTCACAGAGAAGCATTATCTCTATTCTCTGACCGGTATTTGTTTTTTTTTTTTTATATCAACGTCACTTTGTTCCGACCAAAGCAAAAAAAAAAAAAAAAAAGAGCTTAGAGAGTTCCTCATGGCATCCGAAACTAGCCACCAATTTCTTCCTCCTCTTCACTTTGTTCTCTTCCCTTTCATGGCTCAAGGTCACATGATCCCCATGGTGGATATTGCAAGGCTCTTGGCTCAGCGCGGGGTGACTATAACAATTGTCACGACGCCTCACAACGCAGGCCGGTTCAAGAACGTTTTTAGCCGGGCCATCCAGTCCGGCTTGCCCATCAATCTTGTGCAAGTAAAGTTTCCATCTCAAGAATCGGGTTCACCGGAAGGACAGGAGAATTTGGACTTGCTCGATTCGTTGGGGGCCTCATTAACCTTCTTCAAAGCATCTAGCCTGCTCGAGGAACCGGTCGAGAAGCTCTTGAAAGAGATTCAACCTAGGCCAAGCTGCATAATCGCCGACATGTGTTTGCCTTATACAAACCGAATTGCCAAGAATCTTGGTATACCAAAAATCATCTTTCATGGCATGTGTTGCTTCAATCTTCTTTGTACGCACATTATGCACCAAAACTACGAGTTGTTGGAAACTATAGAGTCTGAAAAGGAGTACTTCCCCATTCCAAATTTCCCTGACAGAGTTGAGTTCACAAAATCTCAGCTTCCAATGGCTTTAGTTGCTGGAGATTGGAAAGAGTTCCTTGACGAAATGACAGAAGCGGATAACACTTCTTATGGTGTGATTGTTAACACGTTTGAAGAGCTCGAGCCAGCTTATGTTAGGGACTACAAGAAGGTTAAAGCGGGTAAGGTATGGAGCATCGGGCCGGTTTCCTTGTGCAACAAGTTAGGAGAAGACAAAGCTGAGAGGGGAAACAAGGCGGCCATTGATCAAGACGAGTGCATCAAATGGCTTGATTCTAAAGAAGTAGGGTCAGTGCTATATGTTTGCCTTGGAAGTATATGCAATCTTCCTCTGTCTCAGCTCAAAGAGCTCGGGTTAGGCCTCGAGGAATCCCAAAGGCTTTTCATTTGGGTCATAAGAGGTTGGGAGAAGTATAACGAGTTATTTGAGTGGATCTCAGAGAGCGGTTTTAAGGAAAGAATCAAAGAGAGAGGCCTTCTCATTAGAGGATGGTCGCCTCAAATGCTTATCCTTTCACATCCTGCCGTTGGAGGATTCTTGACACATTGTGGATGGAACTCGACTCTTGAAGGAATCACTTCAGGCGTTCCATTGCTCACTTGGCCATTATTTGGAGACCAATTCTGCAACGAGAAATTGGCGGTGCAGATACTAAAAGCCGGTGTGAGAGCCGGGGTTGAGGAGTCCATGAGATGGGGAGAAGAGGATAAAGTAGGAGTATTGGTGGATAAAGAAGGAGTAAAGAAGGCAGTGGAAGAATTGATGGGTGATAGTAATGATGCTAAGGAGAGAAGAAAAAGAGTCAAAGAGCTTGGAGAATTAGCTTACAAGGCTGTGGAGGAAGGAGGCTCTTCTCATTCCAACATCACACTCTTGCTACAAGACATAATGCAACTAGCAGAATCCAAGAAATGATTGTAACGTTTTTTTTGTGTTGACCAAAAAAAAAAAAATGATTGTAACGTTTGTTCTCGATTACATCTCTTTGTTCAAGAACAGTTTATAATAGTTTTATTTGAAATTGTCTCTATAATCGAATCTAATAATAACATCATCGTAAACATGACTTCATGCATGATTGTAGAAGAGTGTAGAAACCTTCTCCAGTGGTCCTGCATGAGGATCTCAACTTCGATATCGCTCCTTCAAGTTTAGAGTTATCAACACTTTTTGTTTGTTTTCTCGATCATGACAACTTTGTGTTATATCCAAAAAATGACATCATTCATGACTAAGCATAAACGTTTATAGGGACAAGTCCATATCTGGACAATTTTGTAATTTCTAGTTAGTAATATAATATGGGCTTTGAAATTGTATTACTAAAAGGCCCAATAGTATCTTAAGTCCAATAACAATGGTGTACGAACCAGTTCGCCGTGTGTGAAGGAAGTGATTCAAAGAGCGCGGTGGTCGCCGGCGAAGACGTATGCTCGTCAAAGAAACTTCTCCAACCTAAAATTCTCCGAAGGTAATTCTCGAGTACGATTTTAAGCTCATCAAAGAAATTACTTTTCACTCTAGCTTTCATGGGCTCTTCTTCGATCACTGTGTATTTACTCAAAGTTTGTGTTTCTGTTCCTGTATCCCTCTCGTGATTTCGATCTAATCGTAAAGTTTTGAAATTGCGAGAAACCCTAATTTTGGGATCCCTTGCTGATTTGTCAATGTGTGTGTTCTCACATTTTCGTTAAATTAGTGAACTTGTAGAGGTAAGAGGTGAGCAAGTTATCAATGGAGAGCGATAAAGAAGAGCCAATGGTGTTCTTGGACCGTACAACAAGAGCAACACGGGGTAAACGGTATGAATTACTTGAGCTTAAGCTTCTACTTGATGAATGTGTTTCACCTGAAGATTGTGGTTTTGTCTCACTGACATTAATTTTGTTTTTCAGGATGACCAAGTTGCTTGATGACGAAGTAGAAGAAGATGAACAGTTTTGGAATCAAGAAGCTCTTAAAGAGGTTTGTTTTGTTATAAATATATATATCTTACTCTGTTTATGATTTGTTATGGTAGATGTCAAAATATATAATGGAACAATCAGATTTGTAGATAAGCAGGTGATGAGATACTATGGCAGAAACTTTCATTTATGTATCTCTTTACTTTTGCTATCTGCAGGAAGAGCATGATGATGAATATGAAGCAGAACGTGAAGTTGCTGATGAGTTTGACAGCGACTTCAATGACGATGTATTTATGTCTTGCTTATATATTGAGTACTTTATTCATCAAGGTGTTTGCTGATAGTCCATTTTTTAAATTTCTCTCTTTTACCTTTTGTTTGGGAATAGGAGCCCGAGCCTGATGTAGTAGCCCAAAATGAAAAAGAAGAGAGGTGTGACATTTTCCAAAGCTCGTCTTGTGATGGCTATTATGTATATCTGTTTTGTTATAATTTTGCATATTGTTGCAGGGATCTGCCAAAGAAGCGGCTGATCTACCCTGGGAAAATTGCTTCAAAGAAAAAGAAGAAGAAGACGAAGGTAGTTTCGAAACTAGAAGATATTCCTGTAGATGAGAAGCCAGGTGAAGAATTGGGAAACAAGGAACAAGACGAAAAAGAAGAGAATGAAGCACAAGAAGATATGGAAGGTGAGAAGGTCATTAGGAAATCAACACGGACTTCAGTGGTTGTACGACAAGCAGAAAGAGATGCATTGCGTGCTGCTATACAAGCAACAACAAAGGTTTTCTCAGAACTAATCCCCACTAGCTATTTGAATTAATGGCTACGCTTTAATCTCTTTTCTAAGTCTTGCCATGTTGAATTCGTTTTTGTGTTTGTTCAGCCAATACAAAGGAAAAAAGTAGGGGAGGAAAAACGGATGACCCAAGAAGAAATGCTGCTGGAAGCTGCTCAAACAGGTTTGGATTTTATGATGCTGCATCTGTTTTTTTATCAGAAACTTAAATTGCTAAAGTCAGATTTTTTGCAGAAATCATGAACTTGAGGAATTTAGAACGTGTCTTGGCAAGGGAAGAAGAAGTAAAAAAGAAAGCGATTGTGCATAAAGCAGTCTACAAGGGTCCTCAGATTCGGTATCATTCAAAAGACGGTAAGCTCTCCAGTAAAATAGTATTCCAATCTAATCAGATCTTTCCAGAAAAGTAAGAACTATATATGTTTAAACGTCTAACTTTACATGCAGGATGCAACTATTTAGAATTCTGTAATGGTGCGTCGTTCAATTCAGAGTTGTCGACGAAGTCTGTTCCCTGTAAGTAATTTTGTTCTTAGTGGTGTTTGGAGATGAACATAAATGTTTTCATATTGATCTCTGTCTTTATTTTGGTTTGTTTTCTCTTTTCCAGATCCAGAAAAAGCTGTATGTGTGATTACGGGATTACCTGCCAAGTAAGAGTTTTTCTGTTCTTCTACTTTTTCATTGGAAGAACAAGATCTCGTGAAATGAACACAAGTCGAATCTCTTAGGTCTACTGAAAAGTAGTTATCTGTTATTGATATCTACTTGTCGAAAAGAAATGATGTTATTACCTAGCAACCTGATTATCTTTTCTCTGCAATTCCAAAACTAGTTCTTAGTTTTTGTGTATCGCTGATACAGGTACCGGGATCCAAAAACTGGTCTTCCTTATGCAACTAGAGACGCCTTCAAAGCAATACGCGAAAGGTGTCATTTGATCCTATTATTGTTGCATCTATGTATTCACCTGTAGAAGTATTCATTTGTTGTTTCCTCTTAACGGATCAAACAAATTAATGTTATCGGAGGGAAACAGGCTTTTACATAGTCTTTTGGCTTTAGTGTTAGAATCTGATATGTTCCAAACGGCTTCTGTCTTTGCTTCTGAAGGTTCATGGACGAACATGATGGTTTGAGAAAGAAAATGGAGATGGGAGATCTGTTTGATGCACTAGTAGCGAAAGGTTTTGCAACAAAACAAAAGAGAACAAAGATTCCAAAGAGAAACAAATCATTTTCCCAGAGAAGCTCAGTTCATTTCCTTAGCTCTGAGTCAGAAGAAGAGAGTGAAGATTCAGATTAATAAACACCTCCCTGATTTGGTTAGTATATTAAGATAAAAGCCTTTAATTTTCATGAAACATGATCATGAACTCACAGTTGTAATCATGCTCTGCAGAATCTGCATCTCACATGATTGTGATACATGGATCTTCCCACGACCATGGCTTTGGTTCTCAGAGATTAGAAGCAAGAAGAACATTCATGGAGGAAGTTTTCATGATCAGAGCTTGAAATGAAAACAACAACACTCTAATCAGAGATTGATCCTCCCAACCAAAACTATGACACCATCACAGAATCCGAGAGAAAGTGTGTAATCTTCTATATATTGCTGACCTTGTAAAAATGATATATTTTGGTTGATAATATCAATTTCACATTAAACCGAACCGAATAAACTTTTAATTTTACTTCGGTTCGGTTAAACCGTTCCAAAAGCTATAAATAAATCACCGATTTGAAAAATTGGAACTTTCTGCGATTTCTCAGAGCGCCAATGGCTTAATTTGACCTCACAGGGACGAAGAATGATTCGGAGTTCAGATTCAAGCTTCAAATCCAGGAAACACCAATGTCTTATCTTCCTCAAGCTCTGTTCCTCAATTAAACATCTATTACAGATCCATGGACAAATTCATGTCTCCGCTCTCCAAAATGACAGCTTTATCATCAGCGAGCTTATACGGGTTTCTTCACTATCTCACACCAAAGACCTTGCCTTTGCGCGAACCCTTCTGCTTCACTCTTCAGATTCGACTCCTTCTACTTGGAATATGCTCAGCAGAGGCTATTCTTCAAGTGATTCTCCTGTTGAATCGATTTGGGTTTACTCTGAGATGAAGAGACGACGAATCAAACCTAATAAGCTCACTTTTCCGTTTCTTCTCAAGGCTTGTGCTTCGTTTTTAGGTCTCACGGCTGGGAGACAGATTCAAGTTGAGGTTTTGAAACATGGGTTTGATTCTGATGTGTATGTTGGGAACAATTTGATTCATCTCTATGGTTCTTGTAAGAAAACTTCTGATGCCAGAAAGGTGTTCGATGAAATGACTGAGAGAAATGTTGTTTCTTGGAACTCGATTATGACTGCTCTCGTTGAGAATGGTAAGTTCAATTTGGTGTTTGAGTGTTTTTTTGAGATGATTGGTAGGCGGTTTTGTCCGGATGAGACGACAATGGTGGTTTTGCTCTCTGCGTGTGGTGGTAACTTGAGCTTGGGGAAATTGGTGCATTCACAGGTGATGGTAAGAGAGTTAGAGTTGAACTGTAGACTAGGTACTGCACTTGTTGACATGTATTCAAAATCTGGTGGATTAGAGTATGCTCAGTTAGTTTTCGAAAGAATGGCTGACAAAAATGTTTGGACTTGGAGCGCCATGATTGTAGGATTAGCACAATATGGATTTGCAGAAGAAGCCCTTCAGCTGTTCGCGAAGATGATGAAAGAATCATCAGTTAGACCAAACTACGTGACATTTCTTGGTGTTTTATGCGCTTGTAGCCACACGGGATTGGTGGATGACGGGTACAAATACTTCAACGAGATGGAGAAAACACACAAGATCAAACCAATGATGATTCACTACGGGGCAATGGTCGATATTTTGGGACGTGCAGGTCGACTAAACGAGGCATATGACTTCATAAAGAAAATGCCTTTTGAGCCTGATGCGGTTGTTTGGAGGACTCTACTATCTGCTTGTACTATCCATCACGATGAAGATGGTGAGGGAATTGGAGAGAAGGTAAAGAAGAGATTGATTGAGTTAGAGCCAAAGAGGAGTGGGAATTTGGTGATTGTGGCGAATAGGTTTGCGGAAGCGAGGATGTGGGATGAGGCAGCAGAAGTTAGGAGAGTAATGAAGGAAACTAAGATGAAGAAGATCGCCGGAGAGAGTTGTCTAGAGCTAGGAGGGTCGTTTCATAGATTCTTTTCAGGGTATGATCCTCGTTCTGAGTATGTGTCCATCTATGAGTTATTAGAATTGTTCAAGTTTCAATTGACATGTGACAATCATTTGGTGTCTAGTGATCCGAATCAATGCTCTTGACTTCTCTTCTAGTTACTTGTATATATTTACAATTTTCTTAAATTTGATTTAACATTTTCTAGAGGTAATGAATGACTAGTATAGGAAAATTATAAAAAATGACAATAATACATTACCAAGTTTTTCTTACAATTATTTAAAATTTCTCATTAAGAACAATCATAAACCAATGTTATAAGTCCCTCCTTAATGGTGGACTGTATTTCTCTAAATAATTTGTATCTGATTAAAGATATATTAGGGAGATAATCTTTAAGAGTTCATCAAATCTAAATTTCCATGGTTGTTTTCGTTTATTTTTGCAAATTGTCTTATAATATCTAAAGGTTTTAGAGTTTAGCAAGTAATTGTCTATTTTTCTGTGTTTAAACTTTTAAAATATCAAATCTTCCATGCTATACTTTTTACTCGATACTGGTACTAAAAGTTGTCGGCGATCAAATAAGGTTATCTGCAAATTTTTTGACAGCGGGTAATATTAATACATAGCGTAGAAAATATAATTTACTTTACTCTCTAACGTACAAATGCGACACCTATGTAAAGTGTAAAACCTAATTTGGAAAATATGAATGGATTTTGCAATTGGAGCTACCATTAAATAACGTAGCCAATGGCAATTTGGCATATCCAATGGAAGATTCTCAATTTTCGTCCTATAATCTTGATATTTTTTATTCAATAACAAAAAGTTAACACTTTAGCATTACTTTCACATGACTCAAACTCAAAGTCCGAAACCAAGCGTTGGCTCTGTCTTAATGTTACTAATTTTTGTTCTATAACGATTAAAAGTCTTTTTCAAAATTAACTAAAATATTCTAATATCATAAATTTATATACAAAAAACAGTTTTACAAGCATAGTGTATGTATGAATTACGATTTTCACTTGAATTTCAAAAGAACAACGAAAAAGATAAACAATATCAGTTAACCTCACATGAAAGCATATACTAATGTGAATGATTGATGGTAGTTTGAAAATATTAAAATAAAAATAAAAATCTCAGAATTCATATATTAGAATGACATTATGTTATCATGTGTATATCTTACGTGTTAAATACGAGCCAGAATAACAAAAAATTGCATGCCCGAATTTTTAGTTATCTAATTTTTACTTATTTACAAGTTAATAAGAAGACATAAACATATGTAACGTCAAGTCATCGCATACGTATGATCCATCATTTTTTTTTTTTGTCAAAGTACGTATGATCCATCATTCTAGCAACTTTCATAGGTATTATTAATGTATTCATTACAGAAGATAATTAATGAAATCGCATACCATTTTCTTAAAAGTAAGCGATCGAGAAAGTAAAGTAAAATGTTTTATGACAAAATTATATAATATTAATGCATGGTGTGCGATTGGAGTTGAAGTGAAAAGGTAGCAAGCTTATGGCAATATGGCATATCCCTTGGAAGATTCCCTATTTCTCAAATTTTCAACCCATAATTTTTTTGAAATAGAGAGCTAGAGAGTAAAATATAATCACATGATAAATAATTCATAAAACAAATCGAATATCAGGTACTTTTGTTAGCGTATTTGGGACATATGTGTATATATATATAACTATATAGATATGTGTATATGTGTTTTTTTTTTTTTTTTTTGCTTATGTGTATATGTGTAAGTCTATAAAGAAAGCATAAAACATCATATGAAACTCTCTCCACACAACCAAAACATGACGGTGGTGTTGGCTCTTCTATGAAGAACCTCACGGAGTTGGAACCCGCTATTTCAACCGGCGGGTTCTCTTATATATGTAGATAGGGCAACTCGGATCCTTTGGCATTTCCTAGATGTGGGATTGAAGAAGAAGATGTGTGTATCTTTTTCCCTTTGATAGTTCTGATCAAATTGTGTTGGTTCATAGTTTCACTTCTTCTGGTTTGTATCATTTACCTCTTGTCTCTCACTCTCTTTTTATATGTGTGTGGTTTCTGTTATAAATTTGATAATTACTACCCTATAGTTTATAATTAAGTTGACGCTGAGTTTTTAATTTTAAGGTCTGTACAATAATATTTAGTCGATTGGGGTTTTAGTGCACTAGCTCTCATTAGTATCGCTACACCGTTACCACTCCAACTCGATTCAAAAGAGACTTGAGAATTGTATTTCAATGCTTTTTTTTGTTTGTGTTGGATCAATTAGCTTACCTTGTCTTACCTTGATAAAAGCGGATAAGGGTACTGAACAAACGTAAATCCATGATAATTTTAGTCTTTATATATTATTCTTGTCATAGTAATTTTGTTTAAATTAAATTCAGAACAAGACCCTAATTAAAGAGACTTAAAACCAAAAAAAAAAGATGACTTCCATCATGTATCATTAAATTTAAACATATCCTTTCACATAAGGGAGTGTTGTATCTAATATAAGTACATAACCTTTTTTTGTGCACCCAACATAAGTACATAACTAATTGTGTTGTATATCAGTCAACAGAATTTTCCTGTAATGAAAAGCATAAGAATATATTGATTCCGCCAATTAACTAGTTATGTTTTTATATTTAAATGGTTTATTCACCAATATGAGCATGAGACTGAGAATAAGGATGTAATTTCTCTTCTTATTATTAAAAGATAGTATAGAAGTACATAAGCAAGAACAATTGGACTAAAGTGTCCATCGATACAATCATACACTCATCATATATGTTATAAATTAGTCAAGTAGATCATATTTTTGTGCTCATGTGCTGGTTCTTAAGAATCTGTTTCTTCACAGATGGTGGAGATTGGTCACACTTTCTATGACAGTCAGAACATTCCCCGGCTGATGATGAGCTTTTACAATGGGGACGACACAAAATACTGCATTCTACCTCCGATTTTGCTTCACCTCCGATCACAATCGCCGATATTATCATCACCATCATCAACATCATGCTCAAATTCTTACCCATCTTTGTTGTATATGTTTGTGTGTTTTTATTTTCTTTCTTTTCGTTTATGTTGATCAATGGATTGAGTCTATCTTGTGAAAGTAACTCTCTATTTATAGTTTTGAAGTTGTGATGACAGTCTTATCTCCAATTAATAAAAATTACATTCACTATTCATTTTCTTTTTTGACTCCAGAAATTTTAAAGTATAATATCTAGGTAGAATTATTTTATACTATAACAAATACATTTCTTATAGTATATTTTAAATTTTCCTATATATTTAAGA